AACTATATTAACAAATGTCGTTAAATGTGAATGGTATTTTTTTATCAGTTATGTGTTTTTTTATACATTTTTCACGATATTCAAAACGGCCAACCGTTTAATATTACTATCATACATAGTCGACAAAACGAATTCATATTTCGCGTTAAACGGTTAAAGTGAACTTTGCAAGTATGATATTTTTATTTTGGCGAGTCTCGTATATTGTATTTTTCAATTTTTTTTTTTTTTTTAATAAAAACATAATTTGCGTTTTTCATCATAATAAGCGCGTACCAAAAGTTGAGCCGATGTGCCCACAAAATATAACTCCTTTTCATGAACCGAGACAGTATAAAATTACTAACCCCGGGGCCATTGTTGAACCGTCGCAAACAATATTAAAACCATACATGGTTGCCATACACGTGGTTTCTACAACCACGTTTCCCACGCAGGATGACATGACAATGAACGTTTTGCATACAGCGTATAAAAATATATCATATAATATTATGAAAAAAAAAAAAAAAAATACAAATTTAATAAAACTTTAACGTTTACAGTGTGGACTATTTTATTAGATTACAACCCGATGTGTATGTAATTTCAATAGCTATTCATTTTCTTTGTATTTAATTAAAACCTACAAAACGCGCCCATAAGAATTTGTGTCGAAAAATAATTTATACAATGCTGTATTTTTAAAATTGTAACTTAAAATTGTATCGTTTAACGAATTCAAAATTATAAAAAAAAAACCCATCCAATATTCCCCTTTTGGTCAAATGTTTTTTTTTAATTTGACGCGACGGGAGGCTTTTTGTCCGGTATTTTAGAATATGGTCTCGTTTTAATCCCGTTATCGGCTATCTAGCTAAAATATTAATACCAACAAAGCAATAATTCATTATTTTGATTTGGACTACATAAGCGTGAGGAAAATAGTGGAACTTAGAATTTTGGATTTAATGCTAACTATTTTTGAATATTTCTTCTAGTAAAAATACTTGAAAATAACGAATAAAACCAAATTTTGTTTATGGAAAAATATGTTTTTCTCAGAGAGAAAATCAGGAAATTTTCTAATTTAAAAACAGTGGCAACCCTGTTCTATAATGCCCAACCAGTGGAACTTTACGAAAAAGGTCTTTTTTTAGATTTCAGACAATATTGTGAGTCCTATTTTTTTTCCAAATAAATATGACCACTGTCCATCGGTTAGGTTAGGTTAGGTTACGTTAATCTTCGGTTAGACGATAAAGCGAAGTATCTTTGTATTTTCTCGAGCGAAACAAATTGGCTGGGACTGCAAATTGGCTTACCGTATTCAATGGTTTGTCTAACAAAGACACAAAATTGAAGACATTTGACTAAAAATAAAATTACGTTCAAACCGATTTTCGGTTTAAGTCCGAGTGCGTTAAAGTAAAAAAAAACAAAACTTTTAAGTTTCTTATTCTCCACGCGGCTAGCATACTTAAATCACGGTTTTGTTTTAAGGGGTTGTTTTTAGTAGTTGGTCCGAAACGGTCTGCGCACTAATGTTGTCTTTCGAGGAATTCCAAGTTTATGTTGGCGATTAGCCGGGTTAATCGACATCGCTATTTAATTGTATCGATAATGACTACTTTAAAACTGACTAGCCAACAATAATAATATCGAAACAATAAAAACATTAATAATACAAACATAGGTCTAACCGTAACAATATACTCTCTCCTGCGACGGACTGATGATAGCCAATCCGTCGGGAAACCTCTACCCCAGGAGTAAGGGGACAGCGATTGCCCTACTTGGGATGCTTAAGCTGTTTCCGTTAAAGTTCCATAAAATAATTTTGCATTGGAATTTTTCCATTTAAAGCACTATGGAGCATCTGGTGCGTAAGTACACGGGCTTTGGGTCGTCACGGCTCTAATAAGTTTCATGTAAAAACTCAATTGAAAAATTATAAGGCATTTTTACCGAACAATCGAAAGTAATTCAACCAAGACAAAATTGAATTAGTGTAGTTTAGCGAGACCGAACATTAAAAACGGTGCTTTTGCTTTTAATCGAGTTTAAAAAATATTATACAAGACCTGTAATGTAATAAAAATATAATAGCCGTTAAATAATTTCCAATATGATCTGTCGTTCCAATTAGATTCTAGTACAAATTGAGCTTTGAAGATGATAAGATAATGACTGTTTCGAATGTATTGACTGTTTCGCAGTGATCCGAATATTTGTTGGTTACAATTTAAGATTGTACTTCTTCACATCCCAAAGAAACCATCCTAATAGTAATACAATTTTTTTTGAAAAATAACTGGAATTATTTCCCCCATTAGTTTAGGAACAGAATGTTATCATAAAATATAAAGCATTTCACGTGAACGTATTTCTATCCGACTGTGTGCTTTGAGAAACTTTAATAATACACGACTAAATAAAATACGAAAGATGTTAATGAGTTGTAAGATAGCGCCTAATTGACCATTGGTCGATTAATATTTTTATCGTACACTGTAGAACGTATCTTTATAGTGTCTGATCGTAAAGAAAAAACAAAAATTTTCTAGTGCCTCCCCTCACTAGAATTGAGTTTAAAGAAGTCCTCGGGCATTGAAAGCCCCAACCCCTATCATCCAAAAACCGCTTAAGCGCAGAGGACGACCTAGTGTGTACGGCACGGCGACATTAATATAGTATGTTTGTAAGCATTTTAGCCGACGTTGATCGTGATGTCACCGTGGCCGAGTCGGATTCGGCTGGTAATCGTTTGAAATTCAAAACTGCTGCCGTCATAATTCACCGGCCGGTCCTGTGTTTGGGCGATGCCGCCGAACCTAACCGGAACCTAAACCTTTGGGTCTAATGACGCCCGGGGACCGGGGGATGTATCTGACGGGGTTTTGTCTCTGTTTATGCCAATCCGACCGGCAACAAACCCGATAACGCGTTCCCGTGACTGACGCCACACCCCGGGGGAGACCGGACACACCGTCTAATGAACGCCCGACAGGAGGAGGCCAACCCGAATAAGAGACAGGAAATTCGATTCTTGGCCGACAGGGATGTAGGTCGGACTTACATTATGCCCGAAATTCAAATGCACCGACCACTTTGGCTTTGGCGACAATGAATTATATATAATATACATACGAGTTATCCGAAAAACCTCTTCGGAAACGGTACCGACGACTCCGTCTCGGCCGTGGTTGTAAATATTTAATATTTTCCAAAGCGTCACTATGCGTCTGTTGAGTTTTCAATTTTATTAGCTCGGTTCAAAGGACTTTGTGCTTCGAGACGTGACCATATTTTCAACGACCGCATTACACGTGCTAAGCAACGAGACAGAAGTCTCGGGAGTTGTACGGAATAACTACACACATTTATATATATATATATATATATATATAATATATATAATATGTAAAATGTATAAATTTACATTATGGCAACACAGTGCTTAGGTTTGTCGTTAACCCATCTGGACGGATACGGCAATGATTTATATCCGAACACTATTTTTAACGTTGTACAATAATATACAAACCAATATTGACATAATATTTTCCTTTGTACCTTTTATACGCGAAAACTGCAAAAATCAGCTGGTACTTTTTTTTAAATTTTGCAAGACATCCTATACAGAGTGCACACAGTTTTTTATGGACCGACTATTCACTTTTTTATTGATTAAGTTTGCGTCGTTTCAACGATAATATTATATTATGCTACGAAAAATACAGTTTCGCGAAGAAAAAAATCCTGATTTAGCGCTTATGGAATGAACTTTCTTGCTGTGTTTTATGGGCTAATTTATATTTATAACACTTGTAGGTTTTATTGTAAAATGTAGTTCGTTATTTTCTGTGACGCCCAAGAGGGTGTGTGCAGCGTCTAAACAGCTAGCCAAAGATAAGGTTAAAAAATCCTAAGTAGAATATCGTGAAATTTTAGTGTACGCGATAGCGTAGTTATAAACGTTTGAATATTAAGTCAGACTGATAAAAAATTTTTTAAAAATGTAATGTCACGCTGTTAAGGTGTTGATGGCTAGGTTGCCGAAGCTTTTGTTTGATTAAAAATGGAAAAGAAACGGACCGAGTTATTATAATGTTTATAATGAACTGTTATTAAACAAGTTTTGGAAGCGGGCAGGTTTTAGTCCCTCGGAAATTTGCATAAGCTTAACGTGGATCATCTTAAACGCAATGAAATTAGTGAGGTATTTATTTTGTTTTGCTTGGTCGGATACTAGAAACACCAGCTGTAACTTTCTATGTTGTATACTTTTATTTTTTCTACAAAACTACACCTTATGTGTTATTGACTATTATAAAATTACATATTCGGTCGGTGAACCCTTCATAGTTTTGTCATTGAATATTAATTTTAACAAAATTCGACTATATATAATTGTATATTATAGCCGAGCTGAAATAACATTGTTTTTACTGCAAAGTGTACTATCATTTGATCTACAGTTGTAACACTTGGCCGTTTGAAAAAAAGCAAACACAAAATAACGATAATTTGAAATCTGATATTTTTTCCGACATTTCTAATTTCTGTTTAGCTCTTTGAATTACTTGTACTGCTTTTTGTAACAAGAGCCGCTAGTGTCGGTAATGATAGTTTTTCATTCTATAAATGGAACTCGTGTAATCTCTTCGTTTCTTCGGCACACTCAGTCGGTCCGTAATAACTCCTTAGGGGAAACGTACAACGGGTTAATAGCACTGAACGACCGACTTAACTACCATGTGGATAGTTCCAAATGAACAAAATTTGTAACGTCATTAGGCAACACGTTCGACATTAATTTCTTCAGTACAACACAATAAGCCGACCAGCCGGCACGGCGTTTAGACAATCTGTACAAAATATTTAATTATAGATACTATAAAGTTAATTTTAAATCCTTTTTTTTATACATTTTTTTTTAATAACAATTTTTTTTTTAAATGTATATAATATATTTGAATACAGCGTTGATACTAATTTACTATGTTTTTTTTTTGCAGGTGGAACGTTTAAATTAAAAAATTAAATTCTCAACCATGTCTGTGTGTGTTTTAACGGTCACCTAATCAGCTAAGGTCAGTACAATATATTATGTAAATTATGATGTATTAGTTTGACTCGACGCGTTAATAGTGTATATAAATATTGTACAACAACGAACACACGGGTTTCTTATCGACATCTTGTTTCGATTAATCAATTAATGTATAATAATATTTTGTTGTAGTTAAATTATTCCAAGAGAGAGCTGACAAGAGTTACATTTTCTTTACTGAATGATCGGAGAAAATTAATTAGGTCACGTGCCGATGTCACGTTTATTATGTTTTAAAAAAAAAAAGTTAATTGATCGTCCAAAATTGCTTTCTAACAATATTATGTACTCTTAATCAATGTGCCATTTCATCGTCCACCGATTCGATCACGTTATCAACAGCCGTTGCCGAATAACGTTTACAGAGATTGACCGAGCGAATGTTTCATTCAATTATTCTGTTGAACTTTTACACGGGTTTTTTTTTGTTTTGTTGTGTTAACTAAACCGATATCGCTCGTTTATATTTTTAACTGCCAACTATCTATCTATCCGTCTTATTGGGCTTGACGTACCAATCACTGGTATGGCAAGTGATTGACTAAAACTCCAATATAATGTATAGAAAGACTTCAGTGCTCACGCGACGAAACGATTTGTCACGCGAAAGCTTATCAACAGAATTGCCGTTTTTTTCCGCCACTTTCTTTAACGCGTTGTTGTTGTGTCGCCGGTACACGTACATTTACCTATAGATTAGTTTAATTAATTTTATCGACGAAAATCGGTATGCAATTATTGAAAAAGTCGCTTCGGTATAATAATATATTGTTTTGTTTTGTCACGTGAAAATGAATGTCTTACAAATGCGCACAACACTCGAATTTGTTGTACTGTTGGCTGTTATTTAAAAATACTAATATAACTAGAAATAATTTCAACAAACAAGATTCGAAGACGGATATTAAATGAAACTGTCATGACCGGTAGGCTACTTGCGCCTAAATAATACATTAAGGCAATACTTTACACGGTTTGATCTCGTAGAACGGACAATCAACTATTTCTGTTTAAGAAGCGGACCTTGAAAGGAAAATAATGATTGTTAAAAAAAAAAATGAATAGCCTTAAATTGTACAAAAACAAAATTAAACGAGCTTAAGATTTATGTTGACATTATCGAGCCAAAAGAAACGATATTAAGTACAAGGTGTGAACACAATGAAAATTCATTCGTAGTGGATTTTTAGATCGATAGTTTTCTACGGTGTTGCGTTCATAATAAAATATTTATTTTTGAGTAAAAACTTGAAAGAATATGTGTTTATATTCAAAAGCTATATATATATAACAATGTACCTAAGTATTGTACATGTAAACTTTGATGTAGAAAATTTGATTTTTAAACCTAATCATTTTTAAAACTAAGCAAAATGAGACCTGTATGACCAAGCCTTAACATTGACAAAAGTTTAGAAATAAGAGCGTGTGGTTGTCAAAAAAATACATTAGTTAGAGATGGACGTGGGTGCATTTTTAAGATATAGATTTTTAATATTTGCAAATAAAAAAAAGATTTCAAAACTGTTAAAACAGAATTATAATGTCAAAAAAACTATTTAACTTTTGCTGAGCGTTCAAACACATTTTTTTCCTTCAAAATGTATTACTATATGATAATATTTTGTAATGTATAATATATTATGTTCTGACACTTTTACTACTATGAGGTTCGCTGAAAGAAGTATAATATACTTTGATCATGATAACTTTTTTTTTCTATGAATATTTGAATACAAGTACTTTATTAGCCAAGTGGCAAACCCGATTCCCTATCCGTTACTGCACACACGGAAACATTCAGTGACCTAAATCTATAGGCCTCGCCTGTTTTTTACCCTCATACTTGAGCAATAAGAGTCAGGTTGGACTTCAATTTTGGTATTCCGGCACACACCGATAAATCGTTCTAAGTCACGTTACACTGCTGACAATTTCTAAAATATTATTATAAACTAATACTTCAAATGTAGTATCCATTTAGGGATCAGTTCACACTGATCAATAATAATTGGACCACGCTGGACCTTTCTTCTCTCGCCTATATTATATTTTAATTAATAAACAATTAAATATTTTATTAATATGTAGTTTGAATTTATATGTAAATATATTTTTTTAATGATTGAGATACAGTTTCAAAAACATATTGTTCTAAACCTGCTGTTATTTTAACTCTTAGAATAAACATTATGTTGAGAACATTTTAGACGTTTTTTTTTTTAATATTACCTTTCGATTGACGTTTGTTTAAAATGTATCTCTGACGAAACACTCAAATAACCATTTGACAATGTCTTATTAATATAATTTTGTGCATAATAATTTAAATAATAATTTGACGATAATAGCAACGACGGTGGAAAATTGTGTAAGAATCGAATTTCGGCACTTATTCTGTTGACAAATGACCGTTTACGTTGTATAATATAAATTAGTTGGTCGGTTTGACAGGAAATGATAGTAACTAACCCCCAGCAGCCGTTTGTCTCCAAAACACACGACCGAAGAAGGTGTTCGCGTTTAGAAGGTTTTGCGAGCACTCCAATCGCATTATTATTCGAGTAGCAGTTCGACAAACGATTATTTGCGTTCAGGAACAATACAATATAGAAACGTAATGACAACTCATAAAGCAAAAAAGCAAAAGAAAAAAAAAAGTAGAAGGAAAACGTCTCACGCTTTTAACGATCGAAATTTATAGCAAAACGTTTGTCACGATTTTCGTTTTATTTCCCGAATCGTTTTTTAACTGGATTTTGCACGATGCACGATTTCGATAGATCATAGGCGAAGGTGTGTGCGCAAACGATGACTCTGAACGTGTAACGTCTCAGAGGACTGAGCAGTGCCAAACATATTATTACCAGAGATGATGGTCCAGCGATACCGAATATAGTGCTAGCACCATAGTGAGCCGCTGCTTGTTTTTTGTTCGTCTTCCGAACGGCGGTAGCTTTTTATTCTTGGCCGTTATTCATGTGTAATATATTTATATATGTGTCGTACACGCATACCCGTACAATGTACGCCGTACCGGCGGTCGTCGGATAGGGGCCCCTTATACATTGATGTATGCAACGGAAACACAGTTTTGACATTATATATACACGGTGAATTACAATGAAGTGATAAGTATAGAAATGTGTTTGCGCGCGACACGGCAGTATTAATGGAGATCGTACGCATTATTCTACACCATCGCATGGCGCGCCCTTTGCCATTGATTCCACGCGTTCGTTTTCGATCTCCTTTTAGGTAGTAGTACCATACACACACACACACCTCATTCGCTGTATTTCTTTTCGCTCTCTCCGTTCTTTATCCCTTTTCTTTCCTCGCAAACGAGAGCTTGTTTGGGTCTCCGAGTAGCGGTTCGATCCGTGTTTTCCCGTTACTTTGGGTAAAAATTCTCCAAACAAACTGCGTTCGTGCAAAGCCAAATTAACGGCACCCGGTGGAAACGATTGAACCGTGTTAATTGAACCACACCGTTGTCTTTGTAACTTGATAAAACTCATGTGAATTCGACTGGCTATGAAATTTCACATCGGTTCGAACTTAAAATTAGCGAGATAATTTGAAATAAAAACGAATGTAACACTAACCTAATGCCCACGCCTAACGATTGTTTTTTGATCAATGTCAATCGAAACTCATCGTATCCTTTGTCGTGTAGCAGTGTTTAATTTTAACGGTAACCCGTCAAAGGACGAGGCTAACGGGATAAGTTTATGGGTCGTGAAGTATAAATTAACAAAACCCTTTCCCGAAGTTGTCGAAGTCGATGTAAGGCGAGGGACGATGGATAATCGAGAACGTGTCGCTTACACGTGGTACATCACACTAAATTAAGACAATGCTAGAAAATTAATTGACCTGACAAATCCCTGGTGTGAAATTAGTATACTTCATCTTATCGCTATCATATTTCTTATTTTACCCATTCAATTCAACTCGTGTAATTTTTAAACTGTCATGTCATGTGATGAACGCAAAAACCTGTTCAAGGATATGAAATTTTGCATAGTTATAAAGTTTGAGAGATGGACAATAAATAAGAAAGAACAATTAATGCGAATCACGTTAAAGAATGCTGAAAAAAAGTTGAATACCTTTTTTTGGATTGGCGCAGAGAGTATACCGAAATAAATCATGAAACTATAAAACAATGGAAGTTGATGATTAAAACAATATAGTATATTATAGTCAGGGAAACTTTAAAGAAATTGTGATGGAACAGAACTCTTGAAGAGTAGTCAAGTCAAAAGAATAACTTTAAAATTACAAAGTAACCGTTTCTTACTAAATTAGTTAAACCATTTGTTTGGCACCGGTATTTTATCGTCGTATTTTCTACAAAGCTATTACGAGAGCGGACCTTTATTTCTAGAGTTCACACCTGGACCTCAATCTAAAAGTTTTGGATTAATAATTTTACCGAAACCTAATTTTTGGATACATTCTGCTTAGTTATGAAACGGTATTAAGTTATTCAATTCTCTAAACGACCGTACGACTATTTTGTGCCACGGCGAAATCGCAAACCGCAACAACTACCTCATAAATACCGGTTGGTAAATTAACATTCGTATATTTAACTGAAATATCAAGCTCAAAGTTGTGTTGGCGCTTTACACGGAATTGAGTTAACGATAATTTTCAATCTAGGGAATAATATTATTGGATGTCATGTCTAAAAAAACGATTCGGTTTAGGAAAAACCACCAATAATTCAGCGTAGGGTGCTACAGCAAACGGGCCTGGCCGTCTAGTGATAGTAAAAACTAAACTTAGTAATTAATTTCGCCAAACTTTAGAGAGATTATGCGATACCCGTTGTAAGCCGCACGCGGGAAATGGATAAGAGTGAAGAGGAGGGGAGAAGTGGATACGGTCGCTTCGCCGTCGTTGTCGACTTGATTACTAGAAAAGGGGAAGAAGGCGTTGAATCGAACGGATTCGACCAAACTCTATATTGTTTACTATGGGGGGGGGGGCCTTATTTATTTAATAAAAGTCTATTTAATTTGTACCTTTTCGCGCTCTCTCTCTCTCTCTCTCTCTCTTTGTACAGGACCTAAGTATATATACCGTTGTAGGTCCGGTAAACCTCAATTATTTATTATCTCCAGACCGCAATAAATCTAGTATAACCTCTTTATTTTGGACCAAGCGCCGCCACAAAGGTACGGCGGCGATATAGAGGGGCGTGATGAGTGCAAACAAGTCGATCCAAAAAAGGTGGAACGCGTTTGAATAAAAGGATTTGAAATCATTATGCGTACATTTCACTCAGCGGCAAAGGCGTAAACCGAAAAAGGCTTCAATAGTTGGTTAGCGTGCTCGATGGCCGAAGAGTTTTGGTTTTAAAATAGTAATACCGGAAACATTCAGTTCGAAAAGCGAAGCTCTTTTCATCTCGAGATAAGATAACTTTAAATAAACAACGGTTTTTAATTTATCTTTCAATGTCGGTTTTATCAATGAGAAAATAATAAAAAAATATCTATTATTTAATTCGTAATTTAAAAAAGACCAAATTTAAGCAGCTTTCCGGTATAGTATTGTTAAGAACACATAATTATGTAAAAAAAAAACAAATTATAATAATGGTACCCCCTGAGCTTCCCCCCCCCAAAAAAAAAAAGTTTTCTACTCCCTTATAAATGTAAATAAAGTAGAATTTCTGTAATTACATGATATATAAGCCTATTTTGAGTAATTAAAGTTTCAAGCTCAGGACATTAGGAAACTCTTATAGTTTTAAAAATAGTTGTCCTAAACTGGTTATCGACCAGTCAACATTTCTAGTATATTATTCTCAATTTAAAAAGTTAATGAAATGTAATATATATATATATATATATATATATATATATTTCATATGATATTTATCATCGTCAGGTAACAAATAATAATGGTTATAATCAATTATTACGATACTAAAATTGTCTATTTTTGGCCAGCTAAAAGTTTGTCTGTTAGAATTATTTTCCTTAATTTTTTTAAACATTTTAATTCGTTTGTCATTTCCTATGGGAAAAAAAATCTAGACAAACGCATGTTGTGTGTTCCTGACCGCTTGGAATGAAACTAGGACAACTATTTGTCGAGTAACCTGAAAATACTGTATTTTTTCTAAACAGTCGAATAGACGATCCCGGGGGGGAATAGTTTTTGGCGTTACTTTCCCTCGGGTTGTACCTACATAAATCTATCAAACCGCAGTCTCCCCGTATAGCTAAATGTTTCTTTCTGCTTAGAATTTTTTTTTTTTTTATGGTCTAAAATCCATTTTTTCTTTTTTCATACACAATATATTTTTTTTTATTAAATTTGATACGATATAAATTATTATATACCAAACATTGTCCGTGAGTGGTGCCATCTATTTTTCTTTATGATTATTATGATATGTCAACTTTTCAAACAACAGTCCTCTTATATACTTACTAGTCTCTAATCCCGTTTCCCAGTCGACCGACTGTGCTTCCGTCACGGCTTTCCTTTTTAAAAAATATCCTCTCCGCCTTCCGATTTGGTCTCGACCCTTCGTAATCCTTCCTCTATAATATCCCCTCTATGGTTTCCGATTAATAATACTCATCGGTTTGTTGTTGTTGTTGTTGTTATATTATATTTAGCTTTTAATTTTTACCTGGGAACTCAAACGTCACTTAAATCAAAAGTCAAAACAATTTCCTTACCAACTGCATTAACGTTTCGTTTGTATTAGAATGCGTACTTGCGTTCAACATAGTTATAAAACTCAAAATACATAATATGAAATTCAAATTAAAAACCAAACTGCGATTTGTAATAATAATAATAACTACGGTGTTTTTGACACTAGACGTGCAAGTATGAAATTTGGTTTATTAAATGTTGAATTATTCGAACTATAAAACATAATTTGTATAATTAATTGAATTCTTCGTAGTGGTAAACGTTTTTATTATTTATGTAAATGCAACAATGCATTTTATTATAAACCAAACGCGCAAATAATAAACAACGATTTTAATGACATGAAATAAAATGTAATATAAAATAATTAAATATTCAAATAAACCTTAACCACAAAAATGATTCTCTATAGCTTGAGAGAGAGAGCTATAGAGAATAATTGTTGTGGTTAAGGTTTTATTTATGTAAATATTCAATTATTTTATAACCACAAGTGTTGCTTGAGTTTTTTCTAGATAAATGTAATATTTTAAGTAAAATAAATATTTCTTTTTCAGACAGGCGTCTTTTTCGGTGTTTGATCGTTTATTAATGGAATCAAACGACTAAATTTATCAAGTTAGTGTAGCATTTAGAACTCTCATTTTTTCACTAACTTAACTTAAAAAATTCATAAAGAATTTTGCAAATAACAAAAACGTATATAAATATATTCACTTGTCAGTTGTCATTATGCATATGAAATGTTATGTCTGAACGCTACGAACCCCGCCTAGCCATTAACGCGCGGCGTCGAATGAATAAATCAAACGGTATAATTGGAAGACCTTTTTGGTTTGCCTTGTTAAGTGGCTCCTAAACGATACCAACGGAATCGCGTGAGAACTCTTATAATCACATCCCAGAGGAACCGTTAAACCAATAGAATATAAAGTTTACTCGGCGGCCCTCGAGGTCCATCTGCGTACTCAAAGGCTGAGAATTTTAATTTAATTTCTAAACCCAAGTGCACGCAAAACCTAAACGCACCGAACGCGACGGCTACTACATATTCAGCTTCAGCTTCCGTATAACCGTGTCCATTCATTAACTACTTGATAATTTATAAATACATAGAACGGTTGACGTGCTTTAATCAGTAACTGACTCGTTTGAAAGCGTCAACAAGTTTAAGCATAGGTTCGAATATTTCACAGATCATGTTAATTTTGTCAATTTCAAATTAAAAATAAAAATGAAATGTAAACGTTACAAAATATTTATTTTGTTGATACCTACTACATAACACCACACAAAAAAACTAAAGATAGAATTTTTTAAAAATTGTTTTTGCACGGAAATTTAATCTTTCAAAAATATACAAACAATATGTTGTTAAAATATTATGGACATTTTTTCAGTTATACGACTAATTTTTTTTTTAACGGACTACAGTGAAAATTATAGTTATTTTAATAAGAAAAACAAAGCATTAAAAAATATGTAACTGTCCAAGCGGTAGGTATGTGTTTGAAAGCATTTGAAAAATATTAACATTTTAAAGCTGTGATTTTAAAAAAACAATAAAACTCCCCATTGAATGAAAATTTGAATACTTGCGTTGTAAGTACAAAGTGTAATGATTAATCTTTAGTTTTGAATTTAAAACTTTTCTTTTAAATTGTGACAGTTTGTTTTAGTGCTTTCGGTTCCCATGCTAACCGTCCAAAACTGTTGTTTGCTTTATTTAACAGATAATTAATAGTTAAAAATATGTTGTGGTTAAATTTATATAAAATTAAGTTTATTTATTTATGTTAGGTAGTAAATTGTCAACCTATCTAGAGAAAATATAATAGAATTGTATGAATACTTTTTTAAAAAAACAATTCCATAACAACACAGGAACTCTAATGAAGATTTTCCTGAGTCACTGACTGGGAGTGCTGATATTCTCCTATTTTGTTCCAAAAAACTTGTCCAATGAACTATCCAATTAAGATGTTATTATGATTTTTAATTGAAATGGACGGTTACGTTTTTTACTATCTATATTATATATATATATATATATAGGTACGTTTAAAAGTTCAAAAGTACATTCACGTCTCGGCTATATATATATTTTTTTATTATTTTCCTCTTTAGCGCCGTCAAAAGCGTCGACCGTTATTCTTAAGTCGGTCTTTTTATAGCATAATAATTTCACCGGACCGACGGCAACGCGGTTTGATTTATAATCAACCACGCAAATACATTCTTATTAAAGGTTATCCTCTGTATAGATATAGCTATCGCGCTAAGCTGTACGGATGAAAACAAATGCGGCAATAAACGTTTAGACGAAACGCAGGGGCAATGTTAGACTATAATATATTATAGCACAGCATTATGCCGTTTAATCCTGCACCGGTCGTATACATCTATCTTGTTTCGTGCTATGGTACACAAAACCAATACCAGATACCCTGACCTCGAGTCTAAGGTTAAGGAAAATCACTCAACCGCGTAGCTTTGTCGCGGGTTTAAAGCTCAAAACCCAGCAATCTCACACAGAATATAAAAAAAAATATATATATATACTATTAAACGTCGAGCAGTCATAATATAGTAAATAGCCGTAATAATAATAGCAATAAGTCATATGGTCATAATATAATGTGGACGGACATTTTCAAAACCAGCTCAAAAGTTTCCAAAGGTGCAAGTACAGAAATTGTACTTTCCAGCTTTTAACGATTATTATACTTCATGTTTTCACAACTTTCAATTTTTCATACTCACAATTCTAAGTCATAATTTAGACTTAGATGTTGACGTTGCGAATTTAGACAATTCAAAACCATTTGAAACAATAGTGTAACAACTTTATTAGATTTTATAAACTAAATTAAACTGACGGTAAATTATATTGAACATCAGACAGCGTTCGTTAAGAGTTTGAAAACATAATTTTTGAACAACAAGAATATTTATTTGTCTGCAGTGACAATGTTCGGTTACAGTGGAGCACAACCACCGTGACGTACCCTGGTTGAATCCGACATTTTTCCAAGGAAGAAGCGCAACTTTCTATAATCTATAATTAATGAGCTAAATTATAATCAGCCTGTGTATGGGAGTCTTAGAAGTTAAGCGATAAACTTAATAATTTGCATATTATGATAATGTTATGGAGATCATCTGAGCGAAAAATTGAAACGACCGAAAACCGATTTTAGTTAGACTCCATTATAAGCCGATGAAACTTTAAACTTTCCACGTTAAATTGTTAAAGCAAAAATTAAATCACTATAGAAATTAATGGCCGAGAAAATATTTGCGCAGTCATATATTAGGTTTAGTTGCCTTCCTCCATAGTACTAATACTGAACAACATATTTATTGCCATCTCCAACTATTAATTTCCAAAGCTTTTCATTCAGTTTTTACTCTTAAACGCTATCTTCTTCAATGAACTTATTTAATTGAATTAATGACACACAAGTAGTTCTTAATCGAGCATTTATAGCAATAATAAAACATTAGGCCAAAATGCAGCAACAACAAAAAAAAAATGGACAAAAGGTAATAAAATATAACAATATTAATGAAAAAATTGTTAAAACTGCAAAGTTACCCGACAAATACTACAAAGTGAAATTTTACACAATAAAACGATAAGTTGGCTTTATTTTCCAGTTTTATATTTCTAAATATAGTACTATAAATTGCACACAGCATAATTAGTGGAAAACATAGTATGAGGGGATTTATTATAAAGGACTCTTCAAAATTCAAAGATACTAGTTTTTTTTTTATACTTCTCAATATTATAAAAACACACGAATCGTAAATCACACGAATCATTTTTGAATTATTATTATCTTAATGTTTTCTACTTACTCGGTTGAAAATTAAAACGAACGATAATTTCACGGGAATTTCGTTTGGCAAACGCTTTTCCGATTATCGAGTTATAGATCCCATTCGCGGTATACTTAAGACAACGATGCGTAAAGTTTTGTACATAATATGTATACATGTTTCCTGAAAATACGGTTCACGCTACGTCTTGACAACTACAAAGACAAACGCTTGACTTCTTGCACCGGAGCGCAAATGAAATGGGTGGGGGGCGGGAGGGGGTAGGTTGTTTTATTTGTCGAGTAAATGTTTGTGAATGTTGTCTTTCTGTTAAAACACACACACACACACACACGCGGTAGGTAGCGGTATAACATAATAATATATTAACATACATTTTGTCACGTGCCCCCGTTTACCCGTTTGATGATGGGTTTTATATTATTAATGGGAAACATATAATATTATGCAGAGCGGAAGTAAATATCATACTAAAAGTGCTTTGGCCGCCCGACGCGTGGGCTTGTTTCTATATACCTATTCAAAGACATAGTATCGGATTTGAGTGTGTTGTTTCGACGGTCTCGACGGCCGCTTTTGCAAACGTACCTCTTATACCGTAATGACGCGTTCTCAAAGGCGTTTTTAAAGGCTCCCGGAACGATGGCGCAACACCACCGTGAATACAAATTTCCAAACGTGTGTCATATAGATTGCTGCTGGCTACGTGCTCGGCCGGGAGACGGTTAAAATAGAACTTCGTCGAAACTAAAAAAAAAAAAATAATAACAATACCTTCTCAGCTCCGCGTCGAAGCTAAAATCTTGCGCAATTTTTCGGGAATTTAATAATAAAAAAATTAACCGGAAAAAATGTCCAATAATAAGCGCATGCCCTTACAAACGCTATTCCGATGACTATAACACCAATTAGTTGTTATTATTATAATACAACACGAACCCGCCGTTATTTCCACGTGCTTTGCCTTTGCGGCTTTCAAAGGTCTCGTCGGACGGACGGCAATATTTGTTTCCTGCGCAAATTGAAATTAAAATAAAACTTTCTCCGTCTAACGCCGTGGAAATTAATATAAATTCAAATGTAACGGGCACAAAGGACAAAAACACGGTGAAAAAAATCTCTCTCTCTATCTTAAGATGAAGACAATATCGATTTGCATAGCCACCGTGCTCTTGTAGAACTTTTCCGAGTAGCAAGATATATTATATAGAACTTAACTGCCGCGGGGAAATATGGAGAGATAACAAAAATTTTCTCACTCACATAGCGTTTTCATAATATTATTGTGTTTTCCATTCGATTACAATACAAACGAAAATATTTTACTGTGTTGTTCACATTAGTTATTAACCTTGAACGTACCTTATCTAGTTGAAATACTTACTGACGCAGTCCCGCGCAAAAATCCTTTACCGTAACGAGCAAATTAAAAACCAACAGCTAAAATCATTAGTTTTGCCGACCAAAATACAACAGTGATCTGGTGAAATTGTTTTTTTCCATAGTGGTCTGAAAATTTCACAATTTGATTCCAAGAAGCGAACGGTTACCAAATGATAAGACTTAAAAAAGAACTACAATTATACAAGAATAGAGTTGAGCGGATTCTCTTGGTTCTTAACGAAATTCGGCGTTGACTTGATGCGATTACCCGTAGCTTCCCTCAATCGGCTTATGCTATTTTTTTTTTTTATCATTTTTTCCATCCAAAGGTTCACCTGCAAGCGCAGGACGACGTGGTATAACGAGAAAGGGGTCATTTTTATGATAAACCATAAACACGGGACGGTGATATTGTTTTTTCATTGTCTGGGCACGCTCACACACACGAATCGGATGTGTTTAATATAACATAATATTGTGATTTGTACAAGTACGCGACAATAGCTATTATAATATTTTCAATAATCAGACAGTGCTTGGGAATAAATGTATTTGTAATAACATTATGACAATTAATTGCAACGACGACACTCTCTTGTATGACGCTTGTCCCCGACGGCCGTTTGTCACTATTGCCGTTTGTCTTTTGACCACGAGGACGACGATGACGGGGACTATACATAGTAATAGTAATGATAATGATTATGATAATAATAATACACTAACGGCGAAACGGGAAATTATACACAACAGGTGCTTCCTTTGGCGGCGCGATCAATAGAATAATAGCCCGGCGGCGAGTAATATATGGAATTTGGCAGCTCAACGGGTTGAAGGTGGTGGTGGCGGTATTGTCTGTTAATGACAACGGCAATGATAGTGCACATTTCTCGTCGAGTTATCAGAAAATCGATCTGCTAACGGACAAGACGAATTGGGGCCGTCTTGGCCCTTGGGGGGCGGAAATAAATTCGGATTTTCGAAACGCGGGGGAGAATAAAAAAAAAAAAAATTGCTTTTTTTAAGAAAACAATATCGCCGTGTGGCCGCCGGCTAGAAAAGGCGACACAAAAAATGTACTATATACACCACAGGTAGGAAGGAGAGGCCCCGTATACAGACACACCCCGAAAGTAGAGATGTGTGTGGGGGGGGGGAGTGAATTTTGACCGCCAGAGTCCATTAGCGCGTTGTAAATAATACAGTTTCCGGGCTTAAACAAAAGACGCGTTTCGCTCCAAAATATTCATTAATCGTCAAATCGCGTTCAACTAAACACAGTAGCCGCGCACAATCCCTATCCTACCCGGCCCGTCCGTGATAAATTAAAAATAATAATAATAATAACAATGATAACAATTAAAGTGTACGGGGGCAAAAAAAAAAAAACCTCGACCCCCGAAGAAAAACCGTTCGACCACATAATTAATATTTGATATTAGCAAATGTTAATAATTTATATCGTCCATGAAGACTGCGCTAAATTAAAATATCGCGTGGGTTCAGTGCGTTATAGTCGAACGGTTTTAATCAATTCCCAGTGTTCGTTTGAAACATAATTAATATGTAGATTATTTCGTTGTTGTACAGTATAGGTCGAACGCACAATAAAATATCCATGGAAAACGCCGTGTTTCTTTAACGCTTTGTCTGAAACAATATTATTATCTAACACGCCAAGTTTACATGGAAAAAAAAAGCTATTGTAAATCGACTAAAACGTATCCGGTAGTATACAAATATATACAATATGATGAGAATATACAGGTTTAATTTTTTCTGATATTTATGCCACTCTAAAACTATGTTATAACCCATTCTTAGTTTCGATATGTAACGCATTCAGTTGAAAAATCAAATCAAAATAATCGGGTTGATAATAGAAAGTTCTCGTTGTCCTCCCAGTTGCTTGGTGCTATTCAGGATAGGAACATACATTTAATTATTGCACACAACTGTACTTTTTTTTTAAAAGTCGATTTGTTCGCATACCGAACGTTTACCGGATAATTTCCATTTTTATTATGTGTGTGCAAAAATGACAGAAAAATCAATGACAACTACATTTTTAGCCTAAAGAAAAATGGGTAAATAGACATACGACAGCTTATCAGTAAATTATATTAACCGTGTACAAGAATTTTTATGTATATTATAAGAGAAATAAAAGTCACGTCGGTTTGTATAACGATGTCAAGATGTTAATATTTGCCGGCGCAGTTAACGGTTATTCATGTTTTTCCCTATCAGCCGTTATACAGAGATAACAACAACAATAATCATTTACATTTTTTTCTCTCTCATATTATTATACATAATATTGTTATCTCGTATAGTATATCGACCACTGTTAGCGCTATATATGTTTCTTCTTGTTGAAAAAGCCAAGAGACACAGGCCGACATAGTATTTTCAATTGGGTATATTTCTTCGGCACAGCATTTGTAAAGGGCCTAAACGACGTATCGGCAGACGGGCGCGTTGACCCCTCGGGTCTATTATCCTAGAAACCGTCGAGACGGGACAAAGACGGACTACTTAAGTAGATAGAGCAGATGGGCCGAATCATTACCGATCGGTTAGCCGTGTACAGCCGCTGGCAGGTATATTATCTAAGGCATCGGTTAAGACACGCATTTATGATAACGTACTGCGGTTATTAATGTTGTTGCCCGGTTGAACGTTCGTTTTGACATTTTCATGTCTTAGCTCTGGCACATAACCGAAAAAAGCGTTCGTTACAAAAGCGTTACAGGGGGTAGGGGCTAGGGCGGGAGATAGGGGCGGGAGATAGGGGGTAGGAGATCCGGGTAAGAGATAAGAGATTTGTTGTACGTTCAACGTTCAAATTAGAACTAAATGATAAATTCAAAATAGTGTAAGGGCCTAAATTCTCTATGAATTTTTTTAAGCCAAATGTTAAACACTATAATATTAACCAGAAACTTGATGTTTTAATATACTAGCTTGTTACTGCTTCTTAATATACTATATCATTATCTATAATTGCACCACTACTCTAAATTTATTCGGTACTATTTAACGAGACGTGAAAATGCTCTTTCGTGGTTGCACACTTGGCTGAAAAACTTTTTATTAAGGATTCGCATCAGAATTTTGGCAAATATCCCTCCGTTTAAACAGTCACGAGTACTAATCTGTATGGTAGATGTATTGTGTACTTTTTTATTCCATACGTTTTGGTTGTGCGGCGGATGTAGATTTGATAGCCCGGACCGTTTGGCATGGATTCAATACAAATGCATTGGTACAACAATAAATAATAACGACGATATAAACTGGCGGCAAGACCGGCATCGTACGCGGCGGAGACGGCAGATCAATGTCGCATTACCGATGCCCAACACGGGATACGATTATCTCCCACGTGACGTACACTATACACAATATAATAATATACTCGGGCCAACAACGCGGCTGCTATTATTATTGCCACCGCGAGTGTTCCGCATCGGGGTATGCCACGATTTAAACCCTTCAATCGCGCAAATGCTCCATTAATATAATACAGAATTGTAACGACAAACGCTTTGAACTACCCAATTATTTGCCGAGTTCACCGGTCCTTATGTGGCAGACTCTATTCGAGCTAGCTTTTTGGTCTAGCTGTCGTGGATCAAATACAATCAAATGCAGACGATTGAAATACCAATAGGTTGCCGCCGGCCTCGATTAAAAAAACCTCTCCAAACATTTTGGCAATCGAGTTCCCTTATAGTGGTTAAGACGCCATTTAAATCACATTGGAGAAATAATTCAGAATACCTCGCCGCGGGCCGACCGAAAGTGTAAATGTATAAATTCCAGCTACTAGAGGATTATTCGCGATAAACACTGATCAAACGGATGCGAAATCACCTTAATCTTAACACGGCAGTTACAAAAACGCAGTTTCGAGTCGAACCGGTGTGCTTTTCCAAGCCCACAAGACTCAGCTAGTCTGTACCAACGGGAGGATAAAGTTGGCGAACAAGTTGATTGAGATTGGTAAAAAATTAAAAATCGTATCTCGATTGTCTTAGAAAATAACTTGTAGGTTAAGCACAACAAAAAATACCCTCTCAGGCCTCAGCTATGGCGACGAAGCTAAAAGAAACAATATTTTCCAACGCCAATATACATTTTAGGCGGTCATTTAAAGTAAAAACGCCAAAGTCAAGGTCACGCGAAAAAAACTACAAATCAAATAACAGCAAGGCGCGTGATGGAATACGTGCATTTCGGCTAAACGTTTTCAAGTGCAATCATACGGTGTTCGAGTGGGGTCAGTTTTTTAAATTTATTACTTTTTGCCATGAACTGTCATGAACGCGTCTTGGTTCCATCAACATCGACTCGATTGATTGCAAATTTTCGTGTAATAATATATGCAAAACGTTATTAAATACTCTGCTTAATATAATACAGAGTACAGAATCTGGTGTTTGGCACTGAATACAAATTTTCTCCGCTGGATTAATATACAAATTCTTGAGTTCGTACGTATTACATCACTGGCCATTATTACTTGGGATAAAATATACTATTTTTATGTTGGATCGATACTTCAGTATATAGTGTATTAGCTAATTGCATATTATGGATAATGGGCGTTTTCAGTGACAAAAACGATAATACTCTGGCTTTCAGTTAAGCAATGAGATGTGGTATGAATATTTTCCGGAGCACCTACTTAGCCGAACATTTGACCGTTCTTGTTGCACTTAAACAGTTCCTGAAAACGCTTTTCATACTATTTTTTTCCTTATGAAAATCAAACTCGTTATGCATAATTAATTATTAAGACACTTGTACCTTATTGTCGTTATAACAAATTACGGTCCGCGCGCAGTATTTTACTATGCATTTTTCATGGAATAAAAGTCGAGGTCGAAAAGGCCGTTTTACCTTTTGTATAATGCACGGTCTACACTATATTCAAATGGGTTTAAAATGTAATCCCAGCGAAGGCTATTCACTCTTTGGTAGGCTGATATTTTTAGTTTGTAAGTAAGTAGTACAGTAATTTCCTGATAATGCACTGTTGGTTGTGATTCGCTTTTATTCGTAGATTAATTATTTTTATGTTTTTCGGGGGGGGGGGGGGGGGCGATTTGATTTAGTTGTATACAACTGGACTTGAGAAAGAGTGGTGTCTGTTATGGATAACGATCAGGTTTTGAGAAAGAGCGATTTTAATCAATTTTCAAACCGTCTCAATTATCTGTTTTCTCTAATTTTCCCTGCTATTGTTCTCCAAACTGGCTTTTACAGTATTTTGTAATAATATATTTCGACGGTTGTATTTTTACAGGAGCAGCCGGGCAAAATGGTGAATGATACAAGCTGCGTGACGGACCCCACGTCTCTGTCCAGCCCCGTGATGGTGTCCATAATAATAGCCGCCGGCGCCGCGATCATAGTGACGCTGTTCGGCAACATTATGGTGATAATGAGCGTTGTTCAGTACCCGCCGTTGCGGTCCGTGCCGAACATATTCATAGTGTCGTTGGCCGTGGCCGACCTGATGGTGGCCATCGGAGTGCTGCCGCTGAACGTGGTGTATAACGTGACGGGCCAGTGGCTGTTCGGCGGCGTCGTCTGCAAGCTGTGGCTGACGTGCGACGTTCTGTGCTGCACCGCATCTATACTGAACCTGTGCGCGATCGCACTGGACAGGTACCGTGCTATCACGCAGCCGATAGCATACGCTCAGAAGCGCACCGTGTCCCGCGTGCTCTGGACAGTGGCGCTGGTGTGGTTGGTCAGCGCCATCATCAGCTCGCCGCCGCTGATCGGCTGGAACGACTGGCCGGAAGCGTTCGACGAACGCACTCCGTGCACGCTGACCACTCACCCGGGTTACGTTGTGTACTCGTCAATGGGCTCATTTTTCATACCGCTGGTGGTCATGAGCATCACCTATTTGCGGATCTACGTGGCCACCAGGCGCCGGCTGAGACGTCGGGCCCGCGTGGCGCTGCCTCAGGACAGTCGACACCAGGTCCAAGTGGGCACCGGGTCGTCTAAGCAACACAAGAGCGCGTCGTCCAAGCGCACGGAAACGACCACAATGACAGGCGATTCGGCCAGCAGTAGCGACGAGGTGGACGGCCCCACTGGCGGCTCTGGCAAGACCAACCAGCAAGTGTCGTCGGGCGGCTGCAAGCAAGTCAAACAACTGCTCGAGCACAAACAGCGCATATCGCTGTCCAAGGAACGGAAGGCGGCCAAGACGTTGGGCGTCATCATGGGCGTGTTCGTCGTCAGTTGGCTGCCGTTCTTTTTGATCTATCTGTACTTTCCGTTCTGCAAGTCTTGCTGCCCCCCGTCCAAGGTGCTCATCAACGTGGTCACCTGGTTGGGATATCTGAACTCCACTATCAACCCGATCATTTACACCAGGTGCAACATGGACTTCCGGAGGTCGTTCAAGAAAATCCTGCACATGGACTACAGATGAACCAGCGTTCAAACTTAACTCAAACACTCAACACATACATTTAAATAAAACCATTAAAAAAAAAAAATCCTTATACCTTAACAGCACAAAAACATTGGAAGCTCCTACTTAGACCGGTGTCAATTTATAGGTAACTTTAAGTACAAGCTCGGATCCATCCATTCAGTCGAAATCGGATATTAAGAAAACCCTTTTAGAGCGTCCCAGGCCGTCACCCGGAATTCCTATTATGTATTTGTGCTGTTAGGGTAATAACAATAATATTACTATTACTGTTGTGTACGGGTAATCGGTAAAAATATCCGAGGTAATAATGATATCCTGTGGTGAAAATAGCCACAGACAGTGTAAAAATTCAAAACGCTAATAGCTAAACACAAAAAAATGGCCTATTCTATAATATGGACACACTTAAGGAAAATGAAACTGAAAGTTGGCCAATGAAAAGTTTGCCGGCGTAAAGTGAGACACCCGTGAAACGACCTACCAACACTATCTAAAATGTACATACTATATGAAGTGGTGGGAATCAAAAGGGTATAAGACGTGATTTTGATAAAAATTGTACACATGAAAATTATACTTTACATGTATTCTTGTATACACGGTGTTTGTTACTTTTCTCCGCTGATATCTTTTCAAACGATTTGTGATATTTTTTTATAGTCGTAACATTTTTGAAAAACTTTTTTTTTGGGGGATTTTAATAAATATGCTTAGTCAGTTTAAACCACGGAAAAGTAATTTTATAAAATTAATTTAATTAAAAAAGATATGGGCGTATTATAGTTGCGGGGATTTGTGTGATGGAGATTTATGTTTATTTTCGACAATGGATATTATTTCCTCGGATATTTTATTTCATTGCCGTTTTTAGTAACTAGACATTATGTAAGTGGAAAAATTTATATTAATGCTGTTTAATTTGTTTTCGCTAATCAGTTTGTCATTGGGCTTAGAGGACGCAAAACGTGAAGTACAAGTAAATTTAATGATAAAACTAGTTGTGGAGCGAACATTTGGCTACACATATTGTTGCTACGCCACTTACAATTAAACGTTTTATACGAGGAACGAAAACCGACATTACAGCGTTATGTTAAGTCAAGCTCGTGTGTTGTTCTTAAGTTAGGACCGTCCAAACATAAAATCAACCCTTACCGACATCGGTTTTTATAAAAATTATAAGAATCTCAATAGTTATAAAGATATTGTGTTTTACAAAATTTGATAGGTTTATTACTTGGCTCTAAATTGTTGTTGTTTTTTTTAAATCACCCGTATTGAAGTTTTACTCTTAACCTTGGTATTTAATTGTGTTTAAGTGTACTCAGTTTCTCGGGAAATTGCATCTCTCTAGACATATTTTCCACGCGAAAAATGTTACTGTGGCGCACTCTAACGTATTCCGATGTTTCATTACAAAAACCCAAATAGTAGTATCGATGGATAAAATAAACTAAAATATATTTTAAAAGGTGCTCGCAATGTTGTGCAAAATATCAACATAATTATTATTAAAAAATAATCGACATTTTAATTTTGATGATATAATGGCCGTACGAATAGCGTGGAAAAGTTGGCGGTGTTTTTAAGTGTCTTATCTCAGAATTATTGTACTGCTTCAAAGATCATCCTTACATACAAATGGATACTTAATTGCGCCAAACAAACTTTTTAAACTTGAAGACAAATTCTAGATTTAAAAAAACATTATTGCCCATTGCTGTGACACCAACGTGTGAAAAAATTAAATTCCAATATTATAATTTACTTTTCATGAACGATGCACATCGTATATTACTCAACTTTTCATTAGCCAAGTAGTTTACTACAATAATATTTTTTACATTGTTTATTGTTCGAGTCAAATCGGTTATTGAATAAATAAATTCTGAGGCATTCGTGTCAGATTGAAAATGTTTTCTACGTCAACTAAAAACCGCGTTACTCGCTTTAGAGATAGTAGCCGGTGTCCTTATTAATGGACGATTTCACGACGGTTTGTGGGTGATGCGATTATCATAGCTAGTTGCCTTTTGCACTATGTATCATTAATCGTGGTCAACACGTGTCCACGCACTTTTCAGTTTTGTCAGATAATTTTCCAATTCAAGCACCCAAACACACTGGTGTTTCCATTCCAAACGAACCGCGTTGAAGGAAAACAAAAACAACAGCTGTGGTTGTTCGCTTGTCCCATAAAGAGTCATACGAATCTAAAGCAAGACTCGACTAACGGTCAATATTAAGATTTCGATTGCGCTTTGCTTTGGGTCGTCAGATATAAGACATCTGTTGAGAGACAAAGGAGACACGCCGTTAACAGCTATTTGTTTATCGGTTTAACGACAGCTCTTATGTAGCGCGGAGAAGTACTTGCTCTACTCTTTTCCTTCCAAGTGCACTTTATTGCTTTTCTGACTTTAAATTCTTCTATTAAGCTTCTGCTCTCTGCTTTACGTATTTGTTAAGGTATTAATGTTAACCGAAAACATTGTCCTCTTGCCACCGACGACGACTCGGATGGGAGACGGTAAATATCGGCACGTGACTGTTTGGCTGCTTCGCGTTTTCGCAGACTCGGCTTGGAATATAATAATGGAATAAAAAAAAAATCAAAAATCAAAATAAAACGCAAAAAGCATATTATTGCTCGCTCCGGAGAAAATTGAATATTTATTCTTGCGTCCCGGCCGCTGTCAACAAACCGATACGGGGACATTTCTATTGTGATTCGCGTTTATTATTAATAATATTATTACTATTATTATTATCATTGTCGGCGAGGCCACGACGTCGTTCGACAACGGTCCAGTCCGTTCTGACAATACATAAAAACCAATATAAAAAAAATATATATTATACAACAACAAAAAAAAACCTTCCCAATATCCACATGAAATGTTCGCTATAATATTGAAAACCGAGCCACACCGCCAACGGCCTCGCGGAAACCCTATACGCGGTGTTGTTCCGTTCGGGAAGCACAACCATAATAGTAGTAGTTTTCGATTAGACTTATCTGGTTCGCACACTCTTAACGGACACTAATGTTTATCGACATTGATATTGTTTTCTAACCGAAACACTATTATAGGTCACGGTTAGCCAGCCACCGCGTGTGTCGACCACCTCCAACGGCTTGTTGTAGCACAAGTAAGCTGCTCTCTAACTGTCGGTGAGACTTTTTCCATAATATTATGTTTACCGAATCTTATATCGTTGCTTACATTATCGGTAACAACTTTGCTACGGGCGTTGCCGACTTTTGACAATTTTTTTAGGTAATTCGCAATAAATAGATAGAAACGTTTTTTTCTGGATGTGTTTTTTTTTCAGGCGAAACGTTATTTTCATTTGATGTTTATCCGGCATGATAGTAAGGTCCAAGAACGGTTCATATTTGTTTATTTTGCCTAAAATATTATATTGATTTTTCTGCTTTAACAAGAATTGTATTGTTGCCACGCTCAAAACAACTGTAACCGTCTTTATGATTTAATAATATGCGGTTTATTTAAATGTACATTTCACAACTTAATATTATGTAATTAATAATACGCAATACCAAAATTGTCGTATTATGTTTCTAATTTTATAAATACACACACACAATATGACAGCCATAACTACATTATGTATTTGCTCGTTTTGGTCCGATACAAGTCATGATGACAGAATTAGTTTAAAATCTTAGTATTTATTTAATTTGTGTATATAAATATTATATATAATACGATTGTTTTCGTTGCTGTAAAGTGTTAGTTATTTTTTATTATTTAATTCTTTAATATTATAAATATTATATTATAATAATGTTATTAAAATATGTAACCTACAAAAGGTTTGTAACTATTTGTAAAAGTTTGTGATCGTTTTAGATTTTTTTTTTTCAATGCTGATATTAAGTTTTGGAAAAAAAATCATAATTATTAACATGTAATTTACAAATGATGAAATAAACGTATTTAAGTTACATACCAATAGTTCGCGTTGGATTTATTTTATACATCATGATATTGTGTTTTCATGCTGAACCGTATCGTTTTACGTTAAAACATTTGGAATAGACATGACATTTCAAATGCGGTATAAAAGTATGGAAATGTATGTATTTAGTTAAAGATTATAATCGTTTTTGGCAAATGACATATAAAAATTGAACATCTGGAGATATAAAGTCAGAACAAGTTCGGTTACTAATGTTAGCCCCCGAAGATGATGTACTATAGCAAACTTCTGACGAGATGTACATTTATTTCAAAACGTCGACGGACAGAATTTCATAATATTTTGAAAGTTTTTTACGCTTTTGGAAATAGCTAGGATTATTTTTCTCACTGCTGCTGTAGCTGCGATTCACGACACCATAAATCAGCCGAACGTTTTACCGAGTACGATACTTGACCGGCCCAAAAACTACATTATTATTATTACATAAGTAATATAACGTTGTTATATATTTTGAAAAATCACACCGTGCACTCGACGAAACTATACATTTAGTAAGTGTGTGTTGAGCTGGGATTTACGAAATAAAACCCAAAGAGGGTTTTCTTGGCGTTTAGGAAAATAAAAACCATTACAAAAATAATACTTGTAAGTTTTTCCTGCTCGTGGGTCGGCCTATATGAACTGGCGAACTGTGAAATTAAACGAACCGGCTGTGTAAAAACAGCCCTACAACGAGATTCATTGCCGTGACGGTCACGCTTGATACATCCGTTCAATCGGTAATGCAATGCCTATTATTATTATAATATATTGTTGTAACATAAAAGTCAGGTCTGATTTATAGATTAATCGTTACAATCAATTATAAAACGTCTTGTGAGTGCACCAGCCACCACGAGTGTTCTCTCAACCGGGGCCCGATTGGCTAACACTTAATTATTATTCTCTTTATTTGCATATTTTAATAGGTAGGCTAGGTTATAATATAACGTGATGACTTCCAAGCTTAGTCCGATATTACGGTCAGCTGTGCAGAGATGACATTAAATTAATGGATACGGACAAAGAGTATTATGTTAAATACATGGCAAAGGGTATCGCCTAAAGTCTAATGCAACAACAACAATTTAAATTAGAGGATTTCGTCTCTATGTACGACAACTCACGTTTCAAATGTAATTGGTGTCGTGATCTACTTAAAATTCATTCCAGGTGCTGTGCCACGCAGGTTTGATTACCAGAACTATACAGGGTATTGCATTAAGCATAAGACGCTCATAATTTGTTAAAATAATTGCAATTTCATAGTATATCTTATTTAACTATATTAAAAAATCATACTAAATTTTAGGTATGGTGGACTTAATTAGGGAGGAGGAAGTGTGGAGCGCAATTTCGAAAGATGAAAAAGAAGAAAGCGGTAGGACCGGATGGGGTACCAGTGGAGGTATGGCAGGTGTTAGGCCATTTTGGCATAAGGTGGTTTCCTTAATAAGGTGTTACTAGATGGGCAAATGCAGGAATTGTGTAGAAAAAGTATTCTGGTAACAATATTTAAGGGCAAGGGAGATGTGCAGAGGTATGAAAGTTATAGAGCTATACAATTAATTGGTCATAGTATGAAGGTTTGGGAAAAGGTGATAGAAAATAGAATACGGAGTGAGTAAAATATCGAAGAATCAGTTTAGGTTTATGCCAGGGCAATCAACTATGGAACCAATATTTTGTATGAGGCAAAATGGTGGAAAAATACAGGGAGAAAAAAAGAATATGGTATTTATAGATTTAGAAAAGACATATAATAGAGTTTCCAGAGAGGTTTTGAGGTGGACGTTAAGGAAGAAAGGAGGGTCGAGGGTGTATGTGAAAGTAATATAGAAATTGTATTAAGGGGCAAGTACAAGAGTGAAGAGTGTGTGTGGAGAAACGGAAGATTTTAGTGTAAGAGTTGGTGTGGATCAAGGTTCAGCGTTGAGTCCTTGCATGTTCTCTTTAGTAGAGATTTCGAAAGATATTCAGGGGAGGTGCCATGGTGTATGATGTTTGCGGATGATGTAGTGTTAGTGGGGGAAAGTCCGGAAGAATTGGGTGAGAGACAATGTTGGGCAGTAGATAAGAAAACTGAACAGAGAATGAGTGTAGCGGAGATGAGAATGTTAAGATGGATGAGTGGTGTGACTAGTGCGGATAGAATAAGAAATGAATACATAAGTGGGAGTCAGAGAGTTGCATCGGTTGTGGAGAAAATGAGAAAGAATAGGTTGAGATGGTTCGGTCATGTTATGAGACAAAACGAGGCAGAGGCAGTGAGAGGTGTTATGGAGATGAATGTAGAGGGGAAAGAGGAAGACCGAAAACCGAAGAAATAATGGATGGACTGAATAGAGAGTGATATGAAGATAGCTGGGATGATTGAACGAGATGTAGAAGACAGAGCTCTATGGAGGTGTAGGACTAGAGTGGCCGACCCCATGTAATTGGGAGTGTAAGGCGAAGATAAAGAAGGAGATAAAAAAGAAGAAGAAATCATACTAAATATTTGCCTTTTTTGATACCTAATTTCCAGAGCTCTGTCGACTTTTGGAGCTTAAATGTTAACTGTGAGTGGTCAATATACATTGAAATGTACACATTCACACCTATTAACCTATTTCATAGACCACGAATATATTAATTATTAGTCTTCTTTAGTAATCAATCCTAAGATTGGTTTTACAGCATTCTTCCATACTACATCCACTCTTCTCTGTTATGTACAATACTGGTGTGATTTTTTTTTCACTGTAAGTAAACCCCCAATTATTGTTTTTAAATTTCGATTAATTGAATTTGCGTCCACGTTGTTTCATTCCGTCCGAATTTTTTATCTAAAGTTCAACAATACATTAATGTATAATAATAATAATAATATTTACCGTCGCGTCACTCGGACAGAAACATGTTTTCTAATAGTTAATCATTTTTTTTTAATAGATTTCCTGCTATTTTTTACTGGGCCCACCGTTTTTAACTGGCTAAATCGAATAAAAATTAAATATAAGACAACATCACAGTAAACAAACGTTGTTTCACCGCACAACCAACGACCAAACAACCGGGACGTAAACTATGAGATAAAAATTATTTTGCTTAAGCAAAAACCATTATAAAAAATTGTTTTCCACTCGCGTATTATAAAATATTTCACTGCCGTTGTCCAAGTGTAATTCTCATCAATTTCCCATACATAAGTCGAAAAGCTACCGCTAGGACCTCGGTACGTCCAAGGGTTCAAGGGACAAGATTAAAATCCTTTGCACGTCATCGGAAGCATGGTGTGAAGAATGTAATTTCGCCCTTTGCCAGACGGTCGGTCAATTCCGAGTGTTCTGTTTCTCATAAGTATTCGCGTAATTGAAGGAATACCATTAGAATTTTGCGCGTTCCGCCGGACTCCATAATAAATAGTTTGTATTAATCGAATATCAATACACATAGTCCTATAATATCGTATGGTAATATCAGTAAGCCACGCCGTAGTGTTTTCGAGTAGGTATACCGGGTGAATCGAAGCCATAATGTATTTAAAAAAAAACAAGCCACCTTAGTATAGTAATTAATCGACTTGTTTATGTAAAAAAACAGTTGTGGTATGTGTTGTACTGGCATAAAACAAATACAAATGAAAAAGACAAGTACAAAAATACAAAACTCTATAAATTACTTTTGAGTAGCGTTTCGTGACAAAATATGATATTGTCATGGTTATCATCGTCAATTTGATTATAAGTACACGTTTGGTATTATTATAAACATTGTGAATTTACCTACATCAAAGATTTTTTTTTTTAAAAGGAAGGGCCAACGGATAATCTTGAGCAACACGAACCTTATGAACTGTAACCCTAATGACCCTATAATAGTATTGACTTGAATAATGTTGGATTTTTTTTAGCAAAATACTCTTCAATCCAACGATGTATCTTAATTTATCGCATTTCCCGACATAAATCCACACGTTTTGCAATATTTAAGCGGTCATAACAATAAAGCTGAGTGCAATATGTAAAATACAGACTTGACTTGCGTTGAATACAAAACGGGTTTACATATGGCTCAGGCCTCAAATATACGTTTCCATACGAGTAAACAATCCATAGAGAACATTCGACAAAATATGTTGATACTATGTTAATTTCCCAAAAGTCAACCGCCGCCTGTTGTGTTCAAACTTATTTTGGTACCAAACGTTAATCAGCTATATGCAAAATGATATACGTCAGTGTTTATTCGACCCTTTAGGTTTAGTTAATTCATCGTCATATTCGATAACACTTATCTAATAGAACCCACGAGAATAATCCCTTCAGTGTGCTTATCGTCAAGGTTTTAGACTCTAATTGTTTGCATAATATTAAATTGCATGCGAACCCGGGTCATGTATAATATCTGCATAAACAACGTCAGTTAAGTTATATCGGTATACTAAGTCCGTAAAATAGGCTTAATAAGAAAATGCTGTATGTATAATATTGTAGGTCACCATTTTGTTAACACGGAAAATCAATTTTGAAAATTGTTGTTTCTTGTATTCAAAATTAAATAACACTAGGTTACCATTTGTAATGGTATTTTATATAATATATAACCCCATCTCTTATGTGTTAAAACCCTATGAATTTAAGGGTTTTGAATGGTTAAGTATAATTTTTTTTTTTTTTAATTAAAATAATTTGCTGAAAATATTTACTGGCGGATAACCATTTATGGATGGTAATTATTACTTTTAAAGTCATTTAAGACTGTAGGTGGATTGTGGTAGAATAATGCTCGGAAATTAAATATCCAAAACCGGTTATCAACCAGTAAAAATTGTCAGCAAATTATTCGTAGTTTAAAAATTTAATAAAATACATAGAGGTTCTATTTAAAAAATTTAAGTTCATTAGGTTTTAACGCTAAGATATGATGTTATATTTTTGTAACAAAAATTTAAATTAGCCGAACTATTACTTGTAAAAGTATTTTCTGTGCGTTTAACACGATGCGAAACGCTTTGTTGCTAACGAGCATCGTTAATAGTGAACAGTTGGCAAATATTAATTTAAGCTCTAAGCAATAAACATTTTTGCATTTAAAACCCACATTTTCATAAGTACCAAGATTCTTCTGAACACCACCGTAATTTGACTTGATATACAGTAGTATAGTTTTTAGTTTTCTTTCCAAATGTCTATATCTTGATAGTTCATAAAAATATAATATATAGGTAATATGTTTTTGTTTGAATTGGCTTGTCGGCCGTTTTATAAAACCAAAGAAACGCTGAGGGATATGAGCGGTCCACGTATTAAATCCAAATTACTTTTCGAAATGCCTTGTGGATCACTTGGGGGAATTTGAAACCGTTATGCGAAGGACAATTTGTACACAATCTAATATTTATTAAATACCATATTATACTGGGTTTCTTTGTTTTATTCAGTGGACAGTGACCGGTTGTTATAACGATCGCTGTCCGCAAATCCCTGCGGGTTGCCAGGTCTCTTGTGTACTTATACACTCTCGCCATGTCCCTTCTTGTCCAGTCACATCTTCTTTCTTGTGATATAATTTATTATTTCCCGTGTTTACCTTTACTCGAGATCTGCGTAACCTTTTTTCTGTCCCTCGACTCGAAGCATTTTGAATTGTAAATAATGTTTCGTCAAAAGCAGTTATATATATGTCCACTCGGGTCGTTTGAAAAACGAAACTACTGTCAGACGAAACAGCTCAAAAGCCACCGTTCCTTCGTTGAAATAATACTTGCAAAATTTGCCAATAAAATTTATAATTTAATCGAACAATCTTACATCATGTTCATTGTATTGTTTTATAATACACAATTGTAAAGTGCTAACACAGAATAGATAAACGGTGCCAAGTTAAGAAATGCACTTATCGTTTTACTTATTAAGTTTGAACAACTTCCGCGTCTCGCTTTTGTTTTACAGTTGTTCAATAACCAGTTTCAAAAGACACACTGACCAGTACAAAAGGTCTTAGTATGACTTAGCGTGAACTGTAAAACTAAAATATAGAATCTCGACCCCGGATGTATGATAAAATTATACTTTTACTGGTTTATTTAAAACAGCCAGTTGCTCGTTGCTGCATAATATTGTGATTCAACAGTTGACAAGAGCTTAGTAATAATTATAAAAAAAGAAATGTTTAATATCTTCTTACGTGCATTATAATTTAAATTACAATATGTACTGTCAAATATAGCAATAATAATAGTATCCTAGATATCCTAGTAATATATGTTCACCGTATCATGTAAAATCAAAAACAAATATTTTCTGACTTCTTTGAATTTTGTACATAGCAGCTGTTATGAGAATCCTGTTGCCATCATCATTAATGACAGGCATGCAAGTTTGGTTGCTGACGCTCCGCGACGAATATGATTATCCAAATCGTAACCTAAACTTTAAATTTCGTTTTTACCTTTAAATTTAATAATATTAATAAAATACAATGTAAATGGTGTAATAAATTTAGTTTTATTAGTTGAGTAGTTAAGTGTTTATAATTAATATTTATGATTTAGGTTATCAAAAGTCTAAGTCCTGTCCAAATTGTGTTTCATAGTGTTTTTTTGTTTAAAAAAACACATTTGTTTTTATTATAAACACTGTGATGTTCAAATACCTATTGAATTTTATCATAAATTAAAATTAAATTAATTTTAACCATTTTTATACACATTTATATTATATTTTGTATTTTTATTTGTACGGTGTTAAAGAATTTTACTACAGTCTTTTTTTCTTCGTCAATTTAATCGTTTAAAATGTTTCCAACGCGGTTTATTGTGATTAAACAATAATAATAAATGAAAATATAATAAATCCATGGTTACATGTGCGAGGAAACTGTGATGGCCAGTTTCAGTCATATTGTTATTTATGTACATATATATTTTTAATTCAGAATTAATTTAAGTGCCAAGAAAACCATGTTGCAGCGTAATTTTGTTGACGTCAGCGACTCGGTCGTACTGCGGACCAAGACTCCTTTGTTTCCTTCTTCTCGGTGGATTCCGTTGAGAACGGGCAGCTATTACAATGGAGACTGGAACGAGCGAACCATGTCTGGACACGGAAAATATCACATGGCCGACGGTACACACTAATAGTTAATAGGTACCTAACGTCTTCGTTAGGCGTCAACAACATTGGAGACGTCTATAAGTAAAATGCTAGTTGGTTAAAACTATTCGTATTATGGCCTTACTCACAACAAACTATCATAGCATGAAAGTAAATATTGTTGTTACAATAGGTGCAATGTACGTGGGCGGATTCGAAAACGGTTTATTTCACGGATCGGGTACGATATACTACCCGATTGGGTCACAAATCAAAGGCGTTTGGGAAAACGGCAAATGCCTTTCGCGCAAATACATCTTTAGCGATGGTCTCGAATTCGATTTGAACAATTGGAAATACTGTCAAATGCCGGATAGAAGGTATTCGCCAATTAGGCAAAAAATAATAACTCAATGATTTTTTGTGCACGGGATAAAGGGTTTAATGTCATTGACAACACATTTTTCAGTGTCTACCAATTGGGCACATTTTAAATAAACTTGCAAGACCGAGATTCGGTCTTGTTGAGATTCGTGGAATTTAAATTAGGCATACAGACTTTTTTATTTGGTATTCATACAATCTGGTGCTTAAATATTAGGCGTCTTCGCATGACTCATCTCCGATAACACAATTAAAAACAATGAGTCAACCTAAAAAGTTAAGTTAACCTTGAAATTACAGCGATGTGAGATTTAAATCTTATAGCACAAGCGATGGACGTTTTTCTCTGTATATTTTTAATAAGCGAAACTCGTTTTACAAAATAGTGTCCCCTTATTCATGAATTATTTTGTGAATCAATCATTCTACATCATATTTATAAGTTAGTGCTTTCTTGGATTATTATTAATTAACTATTAGTATTGTTACAGCAAATTGTGTACAAAACTGAAAAACACACGTCTAGCTCCACTACAATCGTAGTTTTTATTTTAAATTATTTTTTGTTAGTAAAAATTCTAACCGAAACTGTTCTGTATACATTTAATTTTTTAATTATTTCATAAAAAACAACGATGAAGGGTGTTCTGAGGACATTTTAATTTTTATCACCCTGTGGCGCCAAATTTAATGTAAAACATTTCATTCCCAAAAGACATTATTTTGAATTTTAAATGAAATTCTTATAATAAAAAAGCATCCACTATAGAACCAAAATAAAATAAATAACCGTTTACAAAGACATAACGGATCGAAAGTGATCGGTTGATGGTGTAGAAAATAATGTATTGTAAAAATTCCAAATTAGTTTTATAGAAAAAGCTAACGAAACCAAAATCCAGTACAACCAACACACACGACTTAATATTAGTTGGTATAAAAAACCAAAAATAATTCCGAACAATGAACAGTGTGGTGTCGATGGGAATAACAATATGGGCAACTTATATTTTCAGATACACTCCAGAACACTTAAGAGGTTTACGACCGGCGGCCCATTGTCGAATCACCAACCGCGATCGACCGGTTCGACTTCCCGACGGGTTGTATGACACAGGCTATGGGTTTTACCAACCACTGACCAACACCGTGCACGACTATGAAACCAATGAATTAATAAGGTGAAAAAAAAAAATTGTTAATTCAAAGTCACCGAACAGTGCAAAATTAACGAATCCTCAGAAGCGTTTCTTGCGCGTTTTGGCCAGTTCAAATTTACAAAACGCTTTGAATTTTCCACACCAGTAGAAAAACTAGTGGGAAATCGATTTCCATTAAAAAAAAGTCCTCAATTCGTGTTTGGATTGAGTACATTAAAGCGAACGGTGAACACAGACATAAATATCATATTTCAATTTGTATTATAATATATTCCCGACCCGTTATCGCTTTGTGATCTAAAAGTTGCGATTTGAATACCTAGCATTTTTTAAATGATTCATTTTATTTATAAATATTTACATAAATTATATAGCAATTTTATGGATGAAAAACCCGTAAAAACCCGTTTTTCAAATTATTTGTAATCGGAATAATTACTACTTTATATTTTAATGTATTTCCAAAATGAATGAGAATGCATTAAGTTGTTCAGTGTAAAACAGGAAAAAAAACACTGATAATAAATGCTAAACAAATTAACATTTAAATATATAATATCAGTTACAATTTTTTGTACAAAGTTTTGACAAGTTTCACTTGGACATCAGAATCTGGAGTTCAGCCAAACTAAACTTACATTCATAAAAAAAAAAAATATTTAATAAAACGAAATCAAATATCATCTTGGGATGAAAATTGGCGCAAACAAAAAAAAACAATGAGCTCGAACAATAAAAATTTTAAATGTAAATAAACAGAACTTACCCGGCAATCTTAACGGACGACGATGCATTGTATTAAACCGAGTTAATTAGTCTGACCTTGTTAGGTAAATAAACTATTGTTCAAAATAAACAGTATCCAACAAGTATCACTTGTGGAAAAAGACTAACCGTCAAACACATCATCAAAAGCCCAGCTTTCCAAAAATCTCTTTCTACAATTCAAACAATGGTAATTTGCTAATTTTAGACTTTTCCAGTATATTTTACAAATCAATTGTTTCTTTGGTAACACAAACAACACATTTACTTAATGAAGTTGTTAAAACTTCTAGAACTATTGTTGAATATGAAAATGATATAAGTTGGCGTCGAGAAGCAGGGATTAGGTATTAGTTAGTCAGTCCAGCTAGTTGTGTCTGTTAGCTGATATCAACTAAGATTTTAAGGGAACCAATTGCTGAATAGAAAATACTTAGAGACTTCAATTTGGAGCACATATTGTTTAAATAAGTTTTACATAAAAATATGATGTTAAGTGACAGTTAAATTCTAACGCATAGTAATTTGGTAATTTTTTTTATTTTTGCTGAATTAAAGCAGTTATGAATATTCTATGTTTTTGATTTTTTAACAATAATTTATATTATATACACATATATTTTTTTTTATCGAAACGTTTACTTCTTGGTTTAATAGTTATACCAATATTATTACGATGCTGCACAGATTCAAAAGAAAATACAAAATGTGTTAAAAATTAAAAAAAAACCTATTTAATATTTGTGTTCATTTTATCCAGTTGGCATTGAAATAATGAAGTTATTTTTTATTATGGATATCATAAAAGATGATAGTTCATTACGTTTTAAACAGGTTTCTTGGTTAGACTAATCATCATTCAAAACGTTTCCTGTTAGCATAATATTTTTATGATTACCTAAGTATATTTTGTTTATTATTTTATTTATTTATTATACCGACATAGTTCTCCATAATATTAATATATTTCATATTGTATGTTTTTTATGTCAATTAACCTGAAACATTAGTACAGCGATGCTAATATATTTTGTAATACTTAAGTAATAATATTATAATATTAATATTAATATTGATAGTGTACAGAAAAAAATGTACGCCAAATTATATTGTAGACATACTATGGTGGAATATATTAAAACATATTATTATTACAACAACTGTATAGAAATTAAAAGGCATAAACTACTTATAAGTGGCGTGACAAAGTTTAGAAAAACAGTCAATCTGATTTCAATAACTTTTCTTATTTAGGTATATATTATTTTTTTAAATACAATTGTTTTTATCAACAGTTTAATTATTTTAATGTAGAATTTCCGTTTTTTACCATAAGTACGTATAAGTGTAATTATATATTTTTTTTTTAACAATTTAGTATATTTTCAGAATTTGTATTCATATTAGTATTTTGCTTACCTCTATAAACATCAACAGTTAAGAATAACTATGCACAATAATTAATGTCATCCTCTGTGCTGTTTCAAGCGCAAAACGTTTTACATCTGGCATTATTATGTTATAACTTTTACTATTATTTTTATCTTCCTGTTCGATACAAAACAATCTCGCCGGGACATCGATATGGTTAATGTTTGTTCAAATCTTTCTTGCTTATTGACATTAAACCGAAAATTGTAGGGATTTTTTTTTTGTTTTCATTTGTTTTTTCCCCAGAGACACAATAAACTATTGTTGTCTTGTACGAACGATACCTTGTGCAGGGTACCGACCAAGGCCGGCGCCAAGTGGATAATGGACAACTGCCGGAAGGGTGGCGAAACCGTCGTAGGCTTCCGGCCGGAATTCTATGAAAATTGGTACGAGACAGACGTCCAGACCAACGTCGAAATGAACGATTCAACGGCCAAGAAAGCTATATACGACCCTGTCGCGGATCAAACGACTCGAGATATGAATGGAAGAATAACGATCACGACCAACTTGAAGAAGCCCGTCGGCCTGAGCTTGGCCAGTCACGACTTGAGGTACGAAAGGTTATTAAGTATGTATGTATACCGGTACCATTGTACTTGGGTCGAAAAGGTCAGGTTGGCCCAATATCACTTTTCTTAAGTTTCGGTGAAAATATTCCCATTATTTTGCGCTGTTTTTTTCGATCTAGAAACGAAAACAGTAATTTTTTTATATTTAGCTTTACAAATGTGCTAATTAGGGCAATTTATGCACCTATAAATTGTCCTATTTTTTTATTTACTATATAAATTTAGAATAAAACAATAGCCGGATCGAATTGAAATGTTTATAAACTATTTATTTTCAGTACTTCCATTGTGTAATATTTGGAAATCTAAAATCCGTCTAATAATCTCTAAAATGAGCTCACACATCCGATAGGTAAATATTTTATTTTTTCAATAAAAAAACGTTTTGCCGTGTTCAGAGGTAAAAACTGCAGACGGGTACTAATTTTTTAGATTTTTGGTTTTGAGTTTTGTATGGAAAACTCTTTTTTTTTCATTTTTCTAGCTGCGTTTTAGGTGTTTTTTTTTTTTAGGTAACCTGGTTTCTAACCTAGTATTGAACCTGTTTCGACGACTCGTTGTCCATATTATTATGGATATTTGACAACAGTCAAAACGTTAATATTCTTTTTGATTTTGTCACAAAATATATTGTAATGTTATAAAAAATTAGCTGGAATGTTATACCTATAGAAGGTTCTCCCAAGAGTGTTTTTGTTTTTTTGTTTGTTGTTTGAATATAATAAAATATATATTTTAAACGCAGAGGGCCCGAACCCAGCGCTGTTAACTGTGGTGGATCATCTACCCGATCGAGACAGCTTCTCGTGATGAAAAATTCGGATCAATCGCTTAAATACTGTCAGAAAATCATGAACTTGATACAGAACGCCGCGAACGAACCGAGCAACATGCAGTTTGGCAAAATCAAACACGGCGGCAAAGACCTCCGCTTGTCGCGGCCACAAACCGCTAAAGAAATCGCCAAAAAAGCCGCCCTCGAAGACGATCCCGGGTTTTGGTAATCACCGAGTCACCGGTTATCCCTAATTATATTATTCTTGTGTGTAAAAAAAACGTTGTTAAAAAAAATTACACCTATTCATTCGACAACGGCGTACCTACAGCTGTTGTTTATGTAGTTATACGATTTTAAGACTACAATCGATGATAATATAGAGTTTGTTTAATAATAATAATCACAGTTAATGATGTAAATCACAAATGATCAAAATCGGTTCCGCTCGAGCCAGTTGGATTTTCCGATTAATTAAATCAGTACGGTTCGCCGCATCTGTGGACATTTTATTTATATTTTCATCAACAACAACACAATAATTATTATTGTAATCTCCGTAGAAACCGGTTTTCTACAAACGCCATCTTGCTCAGGTAGGTATCACTGACGAAGTTTGCCATCAGCTCATCAGTCTAGTGCAGATGTGCGCAGCCGTGTGTCGTCCAATTATGTTTCTGTTGTTATTCGGTAAGAACCCTTTTATCATTAATAATAATTGTATACGTTCAAATGTATAAATATTTTATTTCAATAAGAGTGGACGTGAAGCCAGTCAGGTTGAGCGAAAATGAGCATTTTTAATTGTATAAAGTTCTACAGAAAAAATTTAGTTTAGTTTTCTCAATTTACAATAGTCAAAATCGCGCTTTTCGCTAAAATCAGTCTTAAGTTGTATCATGCTAATAGTGTTAATTAGTAGTTAATCATTAACACTTATAACTTAACTGATTAAGGCCGGTAGTATTATACATTTTTGTCGGAAGCGTTGTACTTAACTGTTTACAAAATTTACCAAAAAATTGAATACTTATAATAATATTATGCACAATAATTATAATATTATGTGTTTTATATTATTTACTACTCGTCTATAGTATATTATGCATTTTCCTTTAAAAAATTACAAATATATAAAAATACTATACTTTTTTGTCATAAGTGTCATTGTTTTGTTTTTTGGAAATCAAACAGTTTAATCATACAATTTTTAACTAATTTCTGATTGAACTTTTGTTCGCTGAACTATGGAATTTAAAACCAACAATATAAATCAAAAGTCCAACTGTAAAATATCTATGAAATAGTTAAAACAACGACGTCGCTGAGGTGAACAACGTATGTATCAGACATCAAATGTATTGATCAGTTAGTATAAAATATATTTAAAAGTGATAAAAAGAAAAAACGTTCTGAACAATGAAATTATGAGTAAAGTGTAAACATTCATTTCAAAAATTTGTTTTGTAGTTAGTTATATACATAAATTATATAAAATTTAATTTTTAATTATAAATAAAATAAATCTGTATAAAACAATTTCGTGGAATTTTGGGAAAAGGTAATTTTGTATCAAATCCTAAGTGCAGGAGTTTAAAATTAAATTGTAAGTAAATTAAAATATAAACATCAAACTGAAAAACTAAAGAAATTAATTAATTAATAAAATAATTGGAAACAAAAATAATGTTTCTCTTTTATTATTGACTCAAAGCTAGGAATTTTGTTTACTTAGTATGCTTACGATGTCTTAAGCCAATTCTTTGTATTTATTATATTAGTGTTTTTTAAAATTATTTTTGTTTCAAATTTTAATTATTATTCATTACAAAAACACAATTTTAAATGGTTTATATAAACTTATATTTTTATAAATTTCACTTGCATGTTTTTACATTTTCTTTATTTCAACTGAACATATTTCTACACTTTCTGACCCTTAAATATTGTGAAATTCTGATTCACGTCAATGTTATGCCATTAAAACTAACACCTTAACAATAATATATAAATTGTATAATAATAGAGTTTTAGCCTTCACACTTAATTTCAACCTTTGAACCTTAGATAAATCAAATCACTGAGCTAGACATCTATCAATATTTTTCTGAATTAGTTATTTTTATGTATCAACAAATTATTTATTTCCTAAATCCTACAAATCAAACTTTATTAAAATTATTGTATGGGTTTTTCACACACGTTCTATTGTAGTTCATTATCTGACACTCGCCAATCGCAAGATTAATTATTCCGGTTTTTACCAATGGGAAAATGTTAAGGAGGAAATAATATTTTCTTTTACTTCTATACATAGTATATTTTTATAAAGTTCACCTAATTTATACTGAAGGTCAAGAATATTATCAATAACTCGACTTTTAACTCATGTATATATTGTTATACATAAAAGCAATAATAATAAGCGTTTTTTTCTTTTTTTTTTTTCTTTTGAAATATCAGTACAAACTATTTATTTCTACAATTATAAGTTAATAAATGTATGAATTGATGCTAAAAATTAATGTGTACAAACTGGACGATATTTACAAATACAAGCAACTTAAAAAACAATTATTTACAGCAATTACAAGGCAATAAGCGTTTTAATAACTTGATTCCTTCATTTTATAAAAATATTATAATTTAGTTTTAAATATACGTTTAACTATTTTCCTATACTCACTGAACGATAAATAAACCACAATTACAATATCTACGAAATGTTTTATCAAACATTTCAATTATGATTTTAATTATATTATGGCAAATATTTTGTTCTTATCATCGTTTGTAATGACGTGTAAATATTTGTTGATTTAAATTATTAACTTATATGGTTTATTGCATTTTCAATAACGATAAATTTATTGGGTCAATATCAATAATGAATTTTACAAAATAAAACAATTTTTAGTATATTATACATTTTGTTTTTTTGTTGAGTGCAGCGATAATAGTATATTATTATCACAGTATCAGTTTCAGTATCAACAAAATTGTTTATTGTATGACCTTAATACTATTCAAACGTGTACGAGCTCTGCTTTGTTTTTAAATAATACTACTACAGGGCCCAAGAATATCATCAAAAATATATTATTAATTAAGTTAAAAATATGACGGACGATTTTTTAGCTATCTCTGTTAGGTCAAAGTCATGTACTAAAGGCCTAGTTACCATCGTTAATGACCATGTGTGTTTTCCTGGGCCCAAGATGATGTACTTTTTGGTTAATTCGGTTCTAATTGTAACTAACTTGTCGGTGTTTAAACTTTATCCGTACAGTCGCCCCAATTATATATCTTTTTTTGCCTATTTAACTACATGTAGTCAACTAATTTAGCTTACTTATTTAATATTGTTCACCAAACCTAAAAAGAATTGTGCTCGGAAAATTCTTGAAACCTGAAGGTCTATACTAGGTAATAAGTTCTATCCCTCATCACCATTATCATAACTGTATAATTAATATCGGAGCTAACTTTATAATGCCAAAATATTTATGAAAAAAACATGAATAAATACATTTAAAATCAAGTTTGATTTGGATGTCCACTAATCTCTATAATATTAACTATGAAAACGTGGACGAAGAAGACATTAATTTTTTTTTTATTGAAAATTTGCATAAACACAATTTAACTCTACAACTATAGGGACATTTAGTTATTCAAATTCAAATAAACATACATTTTTATAATAATAAATTGCGATAAACTGCTGTGGAATGAGTGTTTTCATAATTTATTATAACGATTTTACTGAAGTACTTTTATTGTAGATGTCAAAATAAACCATAGAAATATAGGCATGTCGACGTCGTTTGTCATTTTACGTATAATAATAATATTGTTCCTATTACAAAATTTAAATAATTTTATTAACAAAAAACTTCATTAATCTGAATGTCCAAAAAAATATCATACAATATAGATTATTTTTGTAAATAACAAAAAATTAATTTTATTTATTGATGTTCAATCATTTATCATAACATACTTGAGGCATCTAGTTTCAAAACCAGCCCTAAGACATTTTGACAACGTGTTTGTTTTTTAAGTGACCACCATGTATTACATGTTATGTAAAACTGTTATTGAATATCAAATAAAGAAGAATAACTAATTCAAACTGTGTTAGTTTGAAAATCTTGGTTGGTTTTATCTGAAGAAATTATTTAATATTTTGTGAAATTGTTCAAAAATGTTATAGCTGGTTTTGAAACTAGGCGAGTCAATTTTATTTGTAGTCTTGATTTTAAAAACATTCGTCTTTTTGGTTACCTACAGTCGCAATCGCATAAGAAACACTTAATAAAAATATAGACTTTATATTTAGTCAATACCGTAACTTATGAGTCATGAGTATGAGAGCCATTAGAGCATATTGAAGAGTATGAAGACTTTTTTTTTGATGATTAGGAAAAATAATGATTTAGATATATTGTGTTTAAAATATTAAGTTAGAAAATCGCACTAATATTTTTTTCCAAAATGGAAAGTAAAATTTTAATGTAAATAAAGTCAAGGTCTCAGACATATGTTTAGTAGTTCAGTAGAGTCGTTTTAAAGACGTTTTTAATTGTGTATACAAATTAATACTACGCTCGGAAGTGATAAAACTATTTTTCATTTTAATAATAATATACATTTTTTTTTTTTATGAAAAAACCTTTTAAATGTAGCTAATTGTAATTTTTCTAACACCTAACATCAAAGCAACAAAATAAATTGTTTTTTATTGTTAAGGCACTTAAAATTGTAATTTATTTTTTAATTTAGTCATGAATAAATAATTAAATAAATAATAAAAGTATAAAAGTTATTTTTTTTGTAAATTTTTTAAATACAGTTTTACCCAACTTATGCCCTACTCCGTGGGTGAATATTATCTAGTTTTTTTATTTACGTTTGAATTAATCTGATAAATTTTTTATTTAGTATGTTTTAGTTTCTCCGCGCTGTCCGTCAACGGACGAGCAGCAAAGGACTCCATAATATTTCCAGATGCCGTTTACGGTCGATTTAACCAGAGAATAGCAGTATCTAATAGTCAAGAGGTGCTGAGACCTTTAAGACAAATTAATCGTCGTCCAACTGGAAACAATAGACAAACTAACGGTGAGGACGAGGACATATTCAGTGGAATCGACACTGACTGGGTTAATAATAACAACGGACAGCAAAATTCCGGCAACAGGCCAAATGGTCAATGGTCGAACAACGGTAACCAAAACCAAGGTTCCGGTAACAGACCGAACGGACAATGGTCGAACAACGGCAACCAAGGTTCGTCGCAAGGTTTTGGCAACAGACCAAACGGACAATCGTCGAATAACGGTAACCAAAACCAAGGTTCCGGTAACAGACCGAACGGACAATGGTCGAACAACGGCAACCAAGGTTCGTCGCAAGGTTTTGGCAACAGACCAAACGGACAATCGTCGAACAACGGCAACCAAAACCAAGGTTCCGGTAACAGACCAAACGGACAATGGCCGAACAACAATAACCAAAATCAAGGTGGGTCGTCAAACTCGAATAGCCAAAATGAAAGCCAACAATCGTCGTCCAGCTCTCAAGTTGGCCAACCTGACCGTGATGCCTGTAACGCGCGATGCAGAGAAAGAGTGACGGGTGAATACAATCCTGTGTGTGGGACTGACGCCATGACATATCAAAACAGGAGGTTCCTAGAGTGCATTAGCGACTGTGGAATCCGTGAGTACATCAGAACTATTTCATACTTATACTAACCAGATTTGTTATTCATATTTTTTTTTACCAACGAAAATTAAAGGTAAACTAAATCTTTAAAAATATCACTTCCTGAAAGTGAGAGAAAAAAGTTATTCTTTAAAATCTGTTTATGACAACCTAGAACAGTGGAACACAATTGAAATTGGGCCTTCTTTGGGTAGTTGGTGTTAACTGAAAAGCTCCTTAGTTCGAAACGGCACAAAATCATTACTGAAATTCTGAGTTACCAATATTATTGAAAGTTTCGGCCTAGTTAATCTAAATCAATTAAACGTATAAAATAACTCAGTAAACGCGAGTAGTCCAACTCTGGGCCATGTAGAATGTTATTAAACTATATACTTGCATTCACCAATCACCATAATGAATTGCTTACGTGTCTTAAACAATATGATTAGGTTCGTTTTTGAGGTGTGCTTTTAATAATAATAATTTTTTATATTTCAGAAACAAACTTGAGCTACAACGGCAAATGTATCACAACGACTGAACGCGTTGCAGTTCGTTAATCATTTATATCGTAAAAAAGACCCCTGCGTTCTTGAAATTAATTTATAATAACTATTAATAATTATTATTGTATTATACATTTCAACTATATTTTGTCATTTGAACATAATATTATTGTAAAAACAATTGTTTCTCAATTTATATTTTGATGTTATTATTTTTATTTTTTTTTTTTTAATTTTAACTTTATATTTTTTACGTTTTAATAAAATTTTATTTAAATAAAATATATTATTCAATATACATTGATTATTTATCTGTAACGCCCGCATTGGGTTTTAGGCAACCTGACAATGCGCTAATTTGCCACTAAAAACTAACACCTAAAAAAAAACGTTAAAACTGAGTCGTTAGAGTCAACTTTAAAAAATAACCTATGTAAACCTATTGATTTTTAATATCGTGGACTATCGGCAGGAGCCATTAAATTGTTTCAATGTCGAGAACGTTTGAGTTATTATTTTGATTGCGTTCCACGATGGGTTTTTACTAATTTATAAAAAAAAAAACTCCTTAAACGGATAAATTGTCATAATTTTAGGCTTTACTGGCGAGTTTAAATTACTAGACATATTTCTTTTGACTGACACCGTAGCTTACTGATACATTATACTAGATCTCAGTACTTCGGTAGTGTAGATTCACAACACTAATTTTTGCACATCTGTTAAGTGAAGCTTTAGTGGGTATTGTAAAAACTCAAAATCGTGTACGCCTACATTGACATAATTCACCCTGACGACTTCTGTAACACTGCTAAGTGCCATAATAGTTAATATTTATATTTTTGAATTGTTTTAACTCAGTGGTGCATGTCCGGACAACAAGTCGTTGATCTGCAAAAATAAATGCATTAATTGCATAAGCAAACTTAACCATTAAAAAAACTAATTGAATAAGTTTACGGTTTTTTTCTTTTAAGATAAGAAATTAATTATAACTAATACTAAACGATAATACATTTATTAGTATCCGTTTATACTATTTCCGCTGGTCGTTTTAAATTAACAACTTTAAGTAAGGGTATAAAAGTTCAACTCTGCCGTGTAAAACAATCTACTAAACCAAAGTCCGTTATTCGGTTATCAAATTGCAACGATATTGATTTAGTGCACAAACTTTATTGAACGAAACACTACAGGCCAACTAACGACACCATCATCGTCATCATGAGATCATTACCGTTAATCTTCCTATTAGGTGAGTTGAAAAAGATGTTTTAAAGTAACGTTTAGTTATTTATTGCCATTGTGAACAACGTATATGGGGTTTCAACGAGTCTTTATTTTTCAGAGACATTAGCTATTACTGCTAACTTTTTTTCGTTATTGATAAAAATTTGTATACTCTCCAGCATTTAGGTTTAATCGCAGTGGTGTTTGTAAATTCCACGCCGACTGCTACGTAAGATGGGGATGACATGGGCGACAGTATATATTGCCATAAAGGTGGTTTTCATGTTTGTGGATCAGACGGTAAAAAAATACTGTCTTTCGATTCCGATTGCTCGAGAAGGACATACAACTGCTAGTTTGAAGCGAGTAAGTAACGACTACATAATTGGACATATATATTATAAGTTTTTTTTTTTTAACGATTACAACTCTATTACTTGAATGTCTCAAGACCGATGACAGGACTCCCATAGCTTAGTCTCTAGTGAGAGGTTTGATTATGGGTTTTGTTAAATTAATAATAATAATAATAGTAATTGGAATTCTCTTTGTTTTTTTGTAGAGTTCGAACGAATTTCCGATGAAAATTGTCCGGACATGTTGCAACGGGGCACGGTAGATATCTATTAAACCATTTGCCAACTGTGCAACGACACCGTCGCGATGCATTAAATGATTCGATGAAATACTAAGTCTGAAAAGAAAATAAGAAAATATGTTTGTGTTTTTGTTTTATCGAAATTTTTAATAATAGTATTTTTATGTTTTATTCCTCTCATACAAACACTAATAAAGCACAAATACCGAAAATTACAACTGTATTTTCTTTGTGTTTTTTATTTTTCTCTGTTAATATTCAAAATGTTTAAGTACTGCTGAAGATCTGAAGAGTCATATTGATTAAGAAATCATACAGTGTTTACACCTAATTACTATTAATTATTTTGAGCTTACTTCAACGCATTATTTAAAAAAAAAAAAAAGGAAAGTGATTATAGTTGGGATAATAATAATTATGAAATTCTATATTCGTGGCTCTTGAACGGATTCACTTGAACATTTTTTCGTAAAAAAATGGAAATTGTTTTTCCACCCAATTCCGGTGGAAATGCGTGACTGACGTGACAATAGGGAAACCTGTTCTGCATGTTAACACCGTTTAACGGATCGTGGTCACTACAATAATACAAAATAGTAATAGTCGTCACGTTCCTCGTTTTATTTACAGAACTTACGGAAACCAAACGCCCTGACAGCAATGGTAACATTAATTTTGAATACCGCCGTTTGGCGGCCGTGGATCGCTATAAAATGATATTCGTGCCATTTCAAAGCAAGGTCCAAAAATGAATAAAACAAATTAAATTTTTTTAATTATAAGTCTTATTTTAATAAAATATGTAGGTTGATAGAATTTTTATCTTTTCAACACACTAATAAATTACAAATATTCATATTACAGCTGATAGACGGTTGCTCATTAACGGTTAAAAAGTATTCCACTGCACGTACCATTCAAAAAAATTTCATTGTAATTGAAATCAAATATTTTCGTTTTTGTTACAAAGTTATTGTGTTTTCAACAATTTTAACGTGTAAGAATTAATTTTAATTTGTCACATATTTTGCTTCTCGTCACCCCAAACATCAAACAAATGTTTTCAAAATTATCAACACTTCCTTCCATCGCGTCAACACTTTTGTTAGGGCTTAACCCATCTACTAAAACTATATTATCCGCAAACAATAAGCACCATATGTATATGACCATAAATAAGGAAAACGAGAATAAACTTAATTATTCCAACTTTGATGAACACCTTATCTCACAAGTCCCCTCGATGTAAGAGTATTACTATGGTTAGATGAAAATAGTTTAAACAGAAATAACTTTTGATGTGGGTAGTAACTTGAATTATCAGAAAATAACTGTGTTCTTCATTAAATTTTACAATATTTTCAGTTATTTGACACATTCTCAGCTATCGAATCGAAGCTAAAAAAAAACTATTAAAAAGTATGCGAAATAAAAAAAAAACGGTACGGTAATAAAAAACAATGCTTAGACAAACGATAAACGCAATCATTAAAAAAATGCTTATATCTTAACGGTAATGAAATCTATCCAGTAAAAATATTCGTTTCTACTATAAGTGTTGGTCGTTTTAAATTAACAACTGTATTGCAGTGCCGGAGTTTTATAAGAATAATAAAGTCAAGTGCCACAACGTTAATCGAAAAACGTGTTATTACATTATGCACATGCATTTAGCGTACAAATAATTACCAAATCCCAATGTCCTTTGTGACAGTTCATTCTTGAATGTTGCATAAGTAAATAATAATTGTATACTGGAGGTTTTTTTTTCTAAATTCTATGAGCAGTATAATAAATCATTTAGATGTATAGTATAATAATTTAATTTTTTTTTTTTATATTAACAATATTACTAAAAAAATTATTATTTACATACATTACATGTTTTTGTCGTCATTTATTAGTTATGAAACTGCAACAAAAATTTCACAAGTAGACAAATTCTTATTTTACTTTCTAGGCACCATGGAATATTTAACTCCAATACTCCAATAGTAGGCTGGTCAAATATTAGTATTGTCGTTCTCTTATACAATTGTACCTGTGTTTTTTTTATCATTTTGAAAAACGAATAGAGAAATATCCAGCATACTTATTGAAGTTTAATATCTCATCAACAGTTCTTTTTAACTTCACAGGTCGTTTTACACCCATTTTTTTATGAGCCTTATGTAGACAATTGTTTGAAAAATCTTAATTTAAGGTTAAACGGTGATGTGTAATTATCTATTTGGTAATTAGGACTCTACTTTTGGTAGTTTATTTATTTTAGGTTTATCACAGCATTTTTGACAACGAGTTTTTTAAAAAAAGTATAGAAAGGTGATTCTAAAAGTTAAATATTAGGCAGTAGTAACTATTGTAAAAACTCAAAATCGTGTACGCCTACATTGACATAATTCACCCTAATGACTTCTGTAACACTGCTAAATGCCATAATAGTTAATATTTATATTTTTGAATTGTTTTAACTCAGTGGTGCATGTCCGTGCAACAAGTCGTTGATCTGCAAAATAAAACCAATTAATTGCATAAGCAAACTCGACTGTTAAAAAAACTAATTGAATAAGTTTACGGTTTTTTTTCTTTTAAGATAAGAAATTAATTATAACTAATACTAAACGATAACTTATTAGTATCAGTTTATACTATTTCCGCTGGTCGTTTTAAATTAACAACTTTAAGTAAGGGTATAAAAGTTCAACTCTGCCGTGTAAAACAATCTACTAAACCAAAGTCCGTTATTCGGTTATCAAACTGCAACGATATTGATTTAGTGCACAAACTTTATTGAACGAAACACTACAGGCCAACTAACAACACCGTCATCGTCATCATGAGATCATTACCGTTAATCTTCCTATTAGGTGAGTTGAAAAAGATGTTTTTAAGTAACGTTTAGTTATTTATTGCCATTGTGAACAACGTATATGGGGTTTCAACGAGTCTATATTTTTCAGAGACATTAGCTATTACTGCTAACTTTTTTTCGTGATTGATAAAAATTTGTATACTCTCCTGCATGTAGGTTTGATCGCAGTGGTGTTTGTAAATGCCACGCCGACCGCTACGTTTTTACAACAAGACAATTGCGACCAAGTCATATGCGCTTATAGTGCTGGCGCAGTATGTGGATCAGACGGTAAAAAAATACTGTCTTTCGCCAACGAATGCAGGAGAGTTAGTTACAACTGCATGTTTAAAGCGAGTAAGTAACGACTATAAACAGAATTGTACCTATATACTATTTGTTTTTTTTCTTTTAACGATTACAACTCTATTACTTGAATGTCTCAAGACCGGTGACAAGACTCCCATAGCTTAGTCTCTAGTGAGAGGTTCGA